AAAATGTACAAGCGTGTTGTTATTTATCTCGGAGTTGAGTTCAGGTTTTTGGCAAGTATGTGTTTATTTGTGAAGTCTAAACCCAAAATCCGCACAACGTGTTTGACTGTGCCAGGCTCAAAGGGGGGAGGAGGGCAGCTCGGGCGCACGTAGGCAGTCTACTACTCCTCCCTTTTAAAATACAAGTCTGCTTGTCGTCTGGACACCCTATTTCACAAGTTGGGACTTTCCAAAAATGTGATATATAGGCTATGATACGAGTCACAGTGAGTCATAACTTTAATGTCATAGACCATTATTGGATCATTATGCATGTAAATTCATATTAGACATTAATTACACTTATGAAGCGATAAAAAAATACATTTTAGTTTAGTATTAGTTGTATTAATTAAGCAATTAAAGTTATTATAGGTAGTTATTGTGTAAATAATTGGAATTGTTTTCATTCTTCCATCGATAAGCTCCAGTCTTTGTTGAGCCGATGTCTGTCTGATACCTTAGGCGGTCTGTGTGGCGCTACCGCCGCCTATCGCCTGATTTGAGTACTGCAAGGCGTCGCCTCTGAGCTGGGCGACACGGTGGTTAATTAATGAGCACGACGATGCTCTGAAAAGAAAAAAGAAATGTACATCTCAGTGCGGTCCCCTTTGTATTTTATGCACGTGCAGAGAGGTTTCCCAATGGAAACATGGTTTTCTGTGTCAGAAGGTGAGGCTTTAGGAACAAATGACTTATTTTGTGACAACCTTTTTTTCAGGAGAATGGACATGTGAAAACCAATGGTGATGTCTCTACAAAGCCTGATGGGGATGCTGCCGCCACCAATGGCTCAGCTGAAGCCGCCAAGGAGCCTGAAGCCGGCGCAGAAGGCGACGCTATTGAACCAGCGCCTGCTGCAGATGGAGACACAGCCAAACCTGAAGGTGAGGCTGCAGCTAAGGAGACCCCCAAAAAGAAGAAGAAGAAGTTCTCCCTGAAGAAGTCCTTCAACTTCAAACTGAATCTGAAAAAGAGCAAGAAGAGCGAGGCTGTCAAAGAGGAAGCGGCTGCCGCTGCCCCCACCCCCGCTGAGGAGAAGCCCGCCGAGAATGGAGCTGCCGCTCCGGCAGAGGAGAAGAAGGAAGAGGAGGTGAAGGAGGAGGCTGCTGCTGCAACCGAGGCCCCAAAGGCAGAGGAGGGGCCTGCTAAAGAGGAGGCCCCCAAGGAGGAGGCCAAGGAGGCAGCTGCTCCAGCCCCTGAGGCCACAAAACCAACAGAGGAGAGCAGCTCGACCCCCGCTCCCTCTGAAAAGAAAGAGTGATTGTACCTTTAGCTCACAATGAACTGTGTGAACTGTTTTTCAAGAGAGAGAGAGAGAGAGAGAGAGAGAAAATTTAAGAGTATATATATATTTATATATATGTGTATATGTATACATATGTATATGGATATATGTATATGTAAATATATACACATGTATGTGAAAGACTCCTTTGACGTGCCACTTTTCGTCATGATAACAAGACGACAGACTAGATTCACTAGATCACTTCCCTGGTTACTGCTCGACATCTGGACCCGGACTGAGTTTTAGACTGTGGGTTGGTCGCCATGTGGAAAAAGGATTTTAATAGCTAGCGTGAGCTAATGACACCATGAAGTGTAGACGGATGGATGGAGAAGGATGGAGTCAAAGCATCTTGTCCCTAAAAATCTGCATCAAGATGCCTCCTTGCTGAAGGAATGAAGCTAGATAAGATACTAGGACACCACCACCACTTGAAATGACTGAGAAAAAAAATGAAATCAGAAAATTAAAGAGACTCGCCAACTTTTTACATTCCTATATTTTAATCCAAATTTGAAGTATTTTGTGGTGTATTATAGAGAACCATCTTAAAGATTCAGAGAAGCTATTACTTGTTTGTTTAAAGAAAAAAAAATAGACAATTTTGATTTTTACCTTACTATGAAAAAAGAACACTTAAGCTTGCTATGTTCACTGTTGCGGTTTGATATGAAGCAGAGTTGTTTATCTGTCGTGTGTGAGCCTGAATCTGCTTTGTCTCTGTAAATACATTGGATTGATTTCTGTTCTTTATTTTGCTAATGTTGACAGATGTTACTGGTTTTATTGTAAAGTTGATAATGGTAAATAAATGTTGGTTACCTGCCCGTTTAAGTGTCTTTATGGTTATTGACATCATGCATTACATCTGTTACGACAAAGTAGTACACTTTAATGAGAGGATCTGTTTGTCATAACAAGTTTTTATAGCACTGTCTAACACCCATTAGCCGTAGTCTACTAGCAGCAAAGCAGCTTCATTTAAAGGCTAATGTTTCATTTACTCTGACATTTTACATTGTTTCTGTGTTTTATATTCAAATATACAAAAGACCAAAGATCCCTCCTTATATGGCCTCAAAACCTAATTTAAAGTAAGATTATGTACCTTTTAAAATATAAAATAACACATTCTTCCTTTCACAAATTAAAGGTTGGATTCATAAGCAATAAAATACAGCCTTTCTCAGTTCAACACACTCAGGGGTTTTACTGCTACAGTCTGTAGCTTATGGGGTCTAATGTTAGCAAACTTCAGCTAGATTATCTATTTAACTGACGTTACTGAGGTCAGTTTTCTACTTGTGGTACTGTTAAACTGCATTTTACCGTCATCTCTTAATTATCACCTGTGGCTGCGGTGACTGACAGCCCAAGTTACAGCTTAGCTTTAACGCGACCGTCATATTTACAAGGAAAGCTGGTTACAGTACATGGTAAGACACAGGTACATTACCTGTACCTGTAATAAGTAACTTGACACCATAAAGATTTATTCTACTCATTCATTCATGTAATTATTAGCCATTGTTGGATTGGCTCTACGGCCTGCCCAGCTTCACACAAACATAAAAAGGTGATTCACCACTGACTATAAAAGCAGAAGTCCAGTATTTTAATTGACATGAGGTCACACGGGTCATTCTGTATGGAACAAGCAACACCCACATGGTTTTAGCTGATTGGTGTGAGATAATTGAACACACCAACACTACCATGTTCGCTCCAATGACCCCTGGTCCTCTATTAGTCTTATGGCCCTGGGATCAGCACCATTACCTCTGCACTCCTTGTCCCTCCTCCTCCCTCACATCTACAACGTTCCTTCCATTTGAAGGAGGCGAGTGGCTTCCTCAACATGGCTAACTGAACACAGAAGTCCTGCTCTGGGTGAACCTAGTTCACATGGAGTGAAGATGACTTGAGATCTGAGCTACATTTGTACTCAAACAATTGTGAATTATTCAAACAAAGCCGTGGTTCTACATTGATACAGCTCTCTGCCTTTTGAAGCAGATGATTTGTTAACCTGAACCAGTAGATTTATTTTTATATTAAGTGTCTGCAAAAAATCATCAAAGCTCATCTTTAATTGGGTCAATCTTCCACTTGTCTTTACACTGTACACTGGCAGCAAGTTCAGCAAGCTTTAAATGATTAATAAGGGCTGCTGCACAGGGAGTTAGGCTTTCCAGGGTTTTGTTTATTATATATCGTTGTTTTGTTTGCACTGCATACTATACGTGAGATTCTGTGACTGCTCAGCTCAGGGGGCGCAGCATCCATTCAACAACGACGGCATCTGCAGAGAATTGGATGGTACAAACAAACACAAGTGAGCTTACACTGTCACCTGGTGGCCGTTATGTGCAATGCCACAAAGCTGATCACTTCTTGTCAGCTTTACCAATCTGTTCCAGGGCTTTTTAAGAAGCTGGAACGATTGTTGGCTGCATCAATATGCACAATGCATCACATTGTATACTACACTATAAAACAGGACAATGAATGCTTTTGGAAAAATGTACGTTTTACATTTCATGAATTCCTCAAATTATGTTCATAGCTGAGAAGTGTACAGAAACTGGAAAGAACATGCATTTGTATCTTATATTATATCTTCCTGTCTTACATTATTTGCTACATCTGAATGGTCAAACTACATCACCTACATTAGATCATTATATCTGCTTCCAAATGTTTTATTCTATTTTAGGGTGCCTTCTTAACATCTGACCGTAACATATTCATATTTTTTCATCTGTTGAGCAATGAGAATAGTCTCTGTCACAACTACTACTACCACTACTACTACTACTAATAGCTTTATTTGTATAGAACTTTTCAATACAGGTAACAGTACTTTACAATGAATGTGAAACATAAACAAATCAATATGCAAATAAAGCAAAAAATAAAATAGGCATAAAATAGCTTAGTAAAAGTTTTTTTTCTGTAAAAATGTGCTTTAAGAAGTGAGATAAAACTGGGAACAGACTCTGCAAGCCTGATCTCCTCTGGTAGATCCAAAGTATAGGGCCCCTGTCTCCTTTTAGCCTACACCTTGGAATAGTTAGCAGTGCCCTACCAGAGGATGTCAGTCTGCGGCCTGGCTCATAGTGGGATAAAAGCTCAGAGATGTATGTAGTCCCATGCCTAACCTTAAATAATTGAATGAAATAAAATAAACGTAGAAATATGTTGTCAAAAAACATACACAAATTAAATGTGTTTAAGTAGGCCCTAATCACCAAATGAATAAAGTTAAATAGAAAAGTATTACATTGTAAAATAGTAATAAAGTAAACAATGGTGCTGCAATACTGACATGAACTTTGCTTTTAAACCCATCTCCTGACAAATCCCTTGAGGCGATAACCTCAATAGTGGAGGATAGGGATGAAGTGTCCCATTCACACAGGACACTGAACTCTACACAAAGGGCAAGACAAAAGAAGGTGCACTTGTATGTCAACTGATTGTCTGATCATCAATTGCTGGACAATGCAAATTACCTAAATCTATTTCACTCCTCTCTGCATCACTGAATTTCACACAAAACACTTGTGATGTGTGGTCTATACCAGTCTAGACACTGTCTGGTTGTGGCTGCAACATCGGCTTTCCTTGGTTTGTAACGCCGGCGCCTCCCAGTCGGGAGGTCCAGCATCTGTGATTGGTTGACTAGAGCTCAACGCGAGTTCCCCGGTGCAAGACAGGAACCGGTGGGCACGGAACAGTGGGGTAATTGGTGTAAAATGGCGCTATCTCAAGGAACAAAGAAAAAAGTTTGCTATTACTATGATGGTAAATATTCAACGTGTGTACCTTAGTTACTCAGTAATTGAAGTGGCATTGAAGGTGTTTAGGAAATTGTACATGTATTTGTTGCAAGTGTGCCGTAGGACCAGGCTAGCTAGCCGGTGTAGCGTGCTAACGTTAGCTTGCTCGATTGGCTAACTAGCCTGTTTTGGCTACATGCTTAGTTAGCTGTTAGCTTAAAGCTGCATTCATTAAATCACCCGGTGTTCATCTCAGTTTAAAGTTATCAAATAACCAGACAAATTCCCTCAATGTATTAAAACATTTAATTGGATCGAGATTTGTGCTTGGGAGGTAACTTGGTCATTCTGGGAATATAGAGGAGCCGCGAAGCTAACCGGCGCTAGTCACGTCAATGTTTCCCCAATTTAATATCAACTTCCGAGAAGTGGGGACCGATGCGCCGCTTGCCAGTTTGTTGCCAGGTTACTTAACTTAAGTTTCCGTACAAAAAAAGTGCCATTAAGTTATACTGCTTTCCCCTTTTCTGTTATGCAGAGGAACTTTTAAGAAAATGCAAGCTTGCATACCGGTGTGTGGGTGTAGATATTACAAGTTGGATGCCTTTGCTGCCTAAACGCTTGTGTCTTGTGACAATTTGAAACGACTTCTCATTGACCCCAAACTCATTCTGGCAAAATAGGTCGGGCAGCATATGAATAACTGAAGCTGTTTTTATCTCAGATTTTAATATCGGGTCATGTTGGTGTCCACAGTTGTAATGTGCAGCAGAGGATTGTGTGAAAAACAGGCGAATGTGTCAAAACCATAGAGTTCAAAACTTCAACATAAACTGAGGACTGGGTCATCCTTTTTCATGAAATTGTCAGACTTCATTTAGTTTTAAATTATATAACATTGTCAGATAACCAGGGCACATTTTTGAATGGTTGTCTTCACACTGGAGAGCCAAAATACATTGTTGCAGCAGGGTTTTTTTTTTTAAATCAAATGTTATCATGTAAACTTGTCTGGATGATCTTTTCTTTCCAAGGGGATGTGGGGAACTACTACTACGGCCAGGGCCATCCCATGAAACCCCACAGGATCCGCATGACACACAACCTCCTTCTCAACTATGGACTATACAGGAAAATGGAGATCTATGTGAGCAACACAACACTCAAAACAATCAGATCCATATGCATGTGTCGTTATGTTTCATCAAGAGAAAGTTACACCATAATCTTTAACGCAGAGTCTTAAAGCCAGTTCACTGGACCGTGATCAGTGTGCTCAACAGCTTACAAAATAGCCCCCTTACTTGACAAAGGTACAGGGTGGTATGAGGGCACCTAATCAATTGTGATTTAGGGGCTAATGGTACAAATACTCATCTTGACCCATTCACTACAGGCTTTCAACTTCACCTTTTAGTATCAGCTGAGCTAACATTTTAACGTTTTTATCCAAAGTGTATATATGTCAGAGGTTGCACGTCCTCTGGAGCAACTAGGTGTAAAGTGTCTTGCTCAGGGACATGTGGATGTGTCATAGTGGGAATTGAACCCGGGTCTTTCTTTACCATAGCTATCTTGGAACCTCAGCCGGGGTGATACCAAAAAAAAGCCCCAGGTACTTTCCACAACTTTTACCAATGGATAACTTAAAAAGAGATCCATGAGAGGTACCATGCAGTGGAATTGAGGCAAAAGACGAGAGTTACCAATCCAAGACTGTAAGCATGACATGTAAAAAGTGTCAGCTGTAACTTTTTTCCTCGTTTCCTTTCTGCTTGTTTCCAGAGACCACACAAAGCCAGTGGTGAAGAGATGACAAAGTACCACAGTGATGACTACATTAAGTTCCTGAGGTCCATCCGACCAGACAACATGTCGGAGTATAGCAAACAGATGCAGAGATGTGAGTGTCCGCTTTTCTTCCAAAGGACACTGAAGTATTCTTGCAGTTATTCTTAGACGTGTAAAATCTTTTTATCCCGTTCTTTTTCTCACAGTCAACGTCGGAGAGGACTGTCCAGTGTTTGATGGTCTGTTTGAGTTTTGCCAGCTCTCAACTGGCGGATCTGTCGGTATGTTATTCCAACCACACTTCCCATAATCCTTCAGTTGCACGAGCGTCATGCGGGAGGGAAATTTATGTGCACGGCTGGGAACCATGTATAAAACTGTTTAAGTATAGGCCTCAATTTAGTGTAGGTAACCTTTTTAAACACATCTTAAATTTATATCATATACTTTTTGAAACAACAAGTTAAACAAGAACAATTTCAATCACCCGTGGTAGTCCTTACTGGGGAGAATAAGTACGCACAGGACTGTCAAAGAAAAAAGTTACAATCGCAGGCGTGACATAGAAACGGACACACTATCTCTCCTGCACATTAAAAATTAAAAACAAATAACCTGAGTTGGATCAACACACCAAAGTCCATTAAAGTCATTTTGTGCCCTCTAGCTGGGGCATTGAAGCTGAACAAGCAGCAGACAGACATCGCCATCAACTGGGCCGGCGGACTCCACCACGCCAAGAAGTCCGAGGCCTCTGGTTTCTGCTACGTCAACGACATCGTCCTGGCCATCCTCGAGCTGCTCAAGTAAGCTGCATTTAACCATCCTGCCTTGCCACCCATCTGTCAGGTTTGAGTCGTTTTCAGCCCCCAAAGAAATCTGGCATGTGCATTTTAGATACGGATTAGCTGGATTACATCCGCACCTGCCTTGGAGCTTTATGTCTGACGCAATCAAACAATTCGTCTTTCTGTGCCAAACACTAGATTGCTGCCTTTCTTGCAGTGTTTATGCCTTTTGAAAGATGACGATAAGTGCCTTCTTATCACTTGTCACTTTCCGTACCTTTTCAAAACAATTTTAGCAAGTTTCTCCCCGGGCTTTTGGCCTGTTTGATTTGCATGGTCGTTTATTTGGTTTTAGATAGACGCACAGCATTTTCACTTTGCTGTTTAGGTGGCTGAATGCACTTTGGATGAGTGGATATTAACTGCATTTATATACCATAATTAGATTATTTAGACATATTTTTTTTAATGCTTTTTTGGAAAAAGCTGGCCCTGAGATGTTTTCTGAAAGTGCTTACTATGGCAAATTCTTCTTTAAAGTCAGGTTTCTAATCTGATATACACTTACAGGTCATTTTATTAGGTACACCTTGCTTGTTTCGGGGTTGAACCTCCTTTTGCCTTCAGAACTGCCTTAATTCTTTGAGGCAACAAGGTGTTGAAAACATTCCTCAGAGACTTTGGTCCATGTTGACATGATCAGACCAGGTAACATTTTTCCAGTCTGACAGTAGATCAGTTTTGGTGAGCCTGTGTGAATCGTAGCCTCAGTTTCCTGTTCATAGCTGACAGGAGTGTCACCCAGTGTGGTCTTCTGCTGCTGTAGCCCATCTGCTTCAAGGTTTGACATGTTGTGCGTTCAGAGATGGTATTCTGCACACCTTGGTTGTAACGAGTGGATATTTGAGTTAGTGTTGCCTTTCTGTCATCTCAAACCGTCCACCCATTCTCCTCTGACCTCTTAAATCAACAAGGCATTTTCGTCCATACAACTGCCGCTCACTGGATATTTTCTCTTTTTCAGACCATTCTCTGTAAACCCCAGAGATGGTTGTGCGTTAAAATCCCAGTAGATCAGCAGTTTCTGAAATACTCAGACCAGCCAGTCTGGCACCAACAACCATGCCACATTAAACGTCACTTAAATCCCCTTTCTTCCCGACTCTGATGCTCAATTTGAACTTCAGCAAGTTGTTTTGACCACGTCTACGTGCCTAAATGCATTGAGCTGCTGCCATGTGATTGGCTGATTAGCTATTTGTGTTAAGAAGCAATTGAACAGGTGCACCTAATAAATTGGCCCGTGAGTATATATTTTAAGTGTCCATATTGTTTTCACGCAACTCGAATTCCTCTTAAGATGATGTTAACTGAATTCCCTCTCCTCCCTAGGTACCACCAGAGGGTGTTATACATAGACATTGACATCCACCACGGTGATGGAGTGGAGGAGGCCTTCTACACCACAGACAGGGTTATGACTGTCTCTTTCCACAAGTATGGGGAGTACTTCCCTGGGACTGGAGACCTGAGGGTTAGTTTGTTTCTTCTAATTTTCTTTCTAAGATCACTGGCGTACGTTTGTGTGGGCATTAACTCAATGATATCTCCATGTGTGCAGGACATTGGAGCTGGAAAGGGCAAGTACTACGCAGTAAACTACCCGCTTAGAGACGGTATAGATGATGAGTCCTATGAAGCCATCTTCAAACCTGTAAGTCAGCTTGTAAGGTACTCTGTAATGACCACAGTCAGACTCTTCCTCAGAGCTAGGTTGTTGATGTGTGTTTGTGTGTGTGTTAGATCATGGCTAAAGTCATGGAGATGTACCAGCCAAGCGCTGTTGTGCTCCAGTGTGGAGCTGATTCCCTTTCTGGAGACAGACTGGGCTGCTTCAACCTCACCATCAAAGGTATCAACACCATTCACTCTCCCACGACAATACAGTGCTTTTGTTGAATTTGTAGAATTTTAATGTGTGTGCGTTCTTCTAGGCCATGCCAAATGTGTCGAGTACATCAAAAGCTTCAACCTGCCCCTGCTGATGCTGGGCGGTGGAGGCTACACCATTCGCAACGTGGCCCGTTGCTGGACCTACGAAACCGCCGTGGCCTTGGACTGCTCCATCCCCAACGAGCTGCCCTACAACGATTACTTTGAGTACTTCGGGCCCGACTTCAAGCTGCACATCAGCCCATCCAACATGACCAACCAGAACACCAACGAATACCTGGAGAAGATCAAGCAGCGTCTGTTTGAAAACCTCCGTATGCTACCTCACGCCCCTGGTGTCCAGATGCAGGCGATCCCCGAGGACGCTCCCCACCTGGACAGCGGAGACGAGGATGAGGAGGACCCCGACAAACGCGTCTCTAGTAAGAGACTCATACATCACGTACATAGACATAAACGTAATATGTCTGAGTTTGAAGGATGGGAGGATGCACATTAGGGTCGAGTTCTAGTCTGTGTTTGAAAGGCATATTAATGAACTGGGCCTTTGTCGACGGTGTGCGTGCTGTGTTTCAGTCCGGGCCCACGACAAGAGGATAGCCTGTGAGGAGGAGTTTTCTGACTCTGAGGATGAGGCGGAGGGGCAGGGAGGAGGCCGCAGGAACGCAGCCAACCACAAGAAGGTGAAACGAGTGAAGAAGGAGGAAGAGAAGGAAGGAGAGGAGAAGAAAGGTAAGACTTATTCACAAGTCCGGTTGGTATTTGTACATAAAAAAACATTGTAATCACTCTCGGGTTGTTGGGTTTTTTTTTGGCTCGTAGAAGTGAAAGAGGAGGAGAAGGAGGAAGAGAAGATGGACACATCAGGGTAAGAGAATTCTGAGAATTCTAATGAAGTGTTCTTAGAAAATAAAAAAAGCCTATTACGAAGACAACTCTTCGTAATAGGCTACCTGGGCAACTTCCTAAAACATACTGCTGAGGAATAAAGTTAACAGAGCACTCAGACAGGTGTAAGGGTGTGTGTCCATTTGAAATGTGGTACAGTGGAAGAGAATCTTGATTTAAAGATGACCGGATTAAATAAATGTTGTGTATATATAAATGAGGGAATATCTTGTGGAGGAATAGTTTTCATCCCTCCAACAGAGCTGTACAGACTTGGCAAGGAGCTGTTCTGGAGGCCTGTGGTGGCCTGACTCCATACTTTGTAGATCATTGTGGGTCCTGTAAAAACCCCTCATGGTCAAAGAGAAGTGAAGCAGACTGACAGTTTGGTCCCAGGTATGTTGTTGCTTAAACCCCTCAACTGTTGTGTGTTTCAGGCCAAAAGAAGAGGTGAAGACAACTTGAAGTCTGGCACGGGGAGAAATGGATGGTTGTACTGTTGTCCTCAAGTCTCACTGAATCTTACATTCTCCTGCTGCGACGATAGGACCCTTTTTTGTATTCCTGTTTTATTATGTGTTCTTCTGGGCAACCCCGGTCCACACTGTATTCTTTGCATTTGTTTCAAAGCTCAGTGAAGCACCAGTCGAGTGGGCACCGCACAGCCACAGCTGCCTATCTTGATCATCAATTTAGCATGAATTTCCCCCTGTATTGTGGAAACCCCACCCGACTGGAGCTCCATGTAGTATAAAACCGCTCTAATCGTTCTCAGCTGTTCAGAGAACCAGGTCAACTTTAATGTGAAGAAAACCACCCGAGTTATTACTGTTCCTGTCATGGCATTCCAGATTTGAACAAGTTTGTGGGGCTCATGCTGAAATCCCTGCAGGCATAGATAAGTGTAGCACTCACATGCAAAAAGCCTTTTGTTAGTTTTTTTTAACATCTATTTATGATACTGTTGGAATAACCAGCATTTTGGCAAACTGATGTTTGGCTTGCTGTGTTAATTTATCAGTGAATGCATGTTTAGAATGATCTCGCCTTAAGCATGCACATGTTACTCTCACGGGCCATTAAGTTATTTTAAATCATGAATGCAGTCAGTCCCTTCAGCCCATCTTCCTATCAATATCTTGTCAGTGTTTCTTCCCTTATTGTTCGGATGTGTAAGTATGAATCTGTGTGAACCTCTGGAGAGGCAGATGTTGAGAAGTGAGTGACTTGTTTTAGATATTTTGTACCATTATACATGAAGGTGGAGTGAGCTGGTAAAATGGTCCTCCACATGTGGTTGTTTGGAGTTCTATCCTTGTGAAATGTGCATTATCATAACTTTGTCATAGAAAAATAAAGAAAATTGATCCACATCTTTCCTCCCAAGTTCATTTAAAACCCCAAACAGAAGAACTATTTAAATCCTATGTGAAACTATTCCTCTGTTCCTATTTTCAACAGGTGTTTAGGGATTTCTGGTATACTGGTTTTCGAATAATTTGTCCCCTCGGGCCCCTAAACTGAATATAAAACAACTTGCAATACACCACAACTTAACACTCATACATAAGTTTGCAAGGCTTTTGTTTTACATTGCATAGCATTTTTTTTAAATTTTGAATTTGGTCACAGAACTATCAATTTTAAAATGAGTATATAGATCAAACAGACACGACTTCAGTAAGTAGTTTTATGGTGACTTGTACTGGAATGGCTTACAACAGAAAGTATATCAATACCTCATTTTACTCATTTGTAGAATTAGATTAAATAGACTCAGGGAGTGTGGGTCTTAAAAGTCCAGTCACGATATCTTTGCAGTTCCAGGGTATAAAAATGACTTCTGATCCCACCAACAGTTTCCAAGTGATGTTAGAAAAATGACTAAAAAGACACCATCCTCGTCACTGAGATGCAGTCACCACTTCTGACCTCTTTTCCTTTATTTGTAGTAATTTATACGGGCCAAAAATAATCACTGACAACTCTGACCTGTACCTTCGACTTCAGATCAGTTCAGATAAAGGGAAGGAGGCGAGGTGGTCAAAACTGTAAATGCACTTTAGTCCATTGTTGCTTCTTCCTAACTTGACTGAGTGTGATGTTAGTTGAAGCTGTGGGGTTGAAGAACCTGACTGTTTATGCCTCCAGTTCAAAGTCAAAGTACTGTGGGTCAAAGTAATGAATCCTTACGTATCCATCTTCTCCTCCACTGCTGTAACTGTAGACGGTAACAACAGTACAAGAAAACATGTCAACAACGACACACAAAAGGTTTTGACCACACTACTTAACATTTTAGGGCAGTGTATGTGCAAACAAGGTCATCTCTTACCTCTTGCCATCAGGGTGGAATGCCACACAGTTAATGGGGCCGAAATGACCCTTGACCCTGCCGAACTCCTCTTCATAGGCAGCATGGAAGAACCTGAGGACAGAATAAAGGCAGATTATGACATGAACACTTAAAAAAATCTTGATGTTGACATGTGAGATAACAGTGATGTCAGTGTTTCCCACAGGATTTTAAGAGAATATGGTGGGTGGGCCTTGAACCCTCTCACCGGGGGGTCCGGGAGCATGCCGCCCATGAGAAAGTTTTGTTAAATTAAATGTGTTAATTTGGTGCAAACTTAAGAGGCTATCTATGAAGAACTTGGTACGCTTGTAAACAATGTTGTGCTCTAATAAACTATTTGATCATAAACCTGTTGTATCAGCAACAAAAGTCAACATATTTATTTAATGTTTTCCCCAAAACCCTGAATCAAAGAGTAGAAGATAGAATAAGTAATTTCTCTAACATTTTATGGTGTTTTTTTTTTTTTTTTTACTTTTATTGGATACATGTAATATATCTTTTATACTTTCTAAGATTTTAATCCAATAAATCTTATTTCCATGCTGTATAGACACCTTATTTTGAAAACCGGGCGTTGTGTGTATCCTCATGCTAAATTCATTAAGTCCAAACAGAGTCCGAACTTGATAAATAATGTTGTATGTGGTTCTCGTATCGCGTAACATGAAGACTTCACAGCCTCTCTTCGGGTAGGACTCTCATACTGCAACACTTGTCTTTGTAAAGAGAGAAACTGGCAGGAGTCGCTAACCTGCCTGTCTGTCATCTCGCACTGGGCTGTTGAGTTGATTCATCATGAAGGCTTTAATACGTGTGCACTCCAAATGTAGGCGCGGCTAGCTTAATCGCCTTCTCACAAACGAGTGACAGAAACAGTCTGTTAACGTTACCGTAGTTACCTCAAAAGAAAAGTAGTTGTCTGGAGTCGGAGGCCAAAGTGTCTGAGCGTACAAGCTTACAGCAGCGCCCACAAAACACAACGTTAGAGGTCCGTAATATATTATGAGATGTAAAAAATCTTTCGGGTACATTTTGAAACTATGGGGGAGCAGACCATGAGCCAGCCGCCATGGTAATAATAATAAATGGGAAACACTGGATGTTATCTCACGTCTAGGGCTGTTTGATATGGCCAAAAATGTTCACGATAAAAACATTTCATATCATTCATTCAATATCGATAATTATCGAGATATGTCAAATCATTTATTCTTTCAAGTGAGTGAAAACTGAAGAAACCAGATGGTTAATTAACTTTTCTTTATAGTCAGAATGTGACAAACACTTGATGCCAAAAGTGGACCACTTAACAAATCTGAGGTAGAACATTCAAAACTATCTTTTTCAACAAATATGACTAATAAATCTTTTTTCAGCCCCTTTTCCTCAACAAAATAAATATTTTAATAAAAAAAGTGCTAAATTGTCTGTGATTCAAATGAATTACAACTAATATTTATTGAGCATATTTTGAACATTTATTATTGAGGAAAATTATATTGCGAGAATTATCATTATTGTTTTATGTTCCAGCTCTACTCATGTCATTTGGTATAAAAGAAGTGAACACATAATTTGGTTTTGTTTTAACTTAATGTTATCTTTCTTGACTTCTAATCAACCGCAGCCATTTTTTCCCCTCACCTGGCCTCAAACTTGCCGATCCTGGTGGAGGTAGTGGTGACCTCCATGGCCTCCTGACCGCCTCCCATCACCACCTGAGTTACACAAACCATGCACAAGTGTCAAAGGCCAGTGATATGATACAGTTTGCACTTGAGAAAGCACTACGTGGCAAACAAATGTGTACATGGTCGCCATCGCTCATTTTTACAGACGTAACAGTGAGAGTCTTCACTTACATGATCCATAATGGGGGAGATGGCGGCGGAGTTGACCGGTCGCTCTGTCTTGAAAGTCTTGATGTGATCCAGAGTAGCGCAGTCAAACAGCTGAGAGGAAACACAATAGACACCCAAACATTCAGTAACAATGTATGATACCAAAGTCATGATTAAAATCACATTACCCATCCATGGATTATTATTATTAATACGACAAAAGTAGCAATTTGGTGACCCAAATATTTACAAATTGTCAGGTTATGGCAGTGACAAAGGGCCAGGAGAGTAGACAGTCTTACCTTGGCAGAGTTGTCCTTGGAGGCACTGATGAACATGGTGAGATCCACTGATGTCTGGATGTCATTGATCTGCTTGGTGTGCTCCTTGGCCGCCTTCAGGATATCTCCAGACTGTCCGTAAATAAACACAGTGGCAGCATTCAACTTTAATGATTCTGAATTTAAAACTTACTATGAAGCTACGCACCTGGATATTATTGTCTGAAATCTCACATTTAAATGCTTTATATTCTTTATCACAGCAATATATTTATCTGTAATTGCTGGAAAACTGAGAAAAGGTTATTGTTTGGGCTTCCTAACCAATATCAGCTTTGTTTCCTAATATTAGGCCCTGCAGCCAGTGCCACATAAACACTGTTAATCACATTCCCATATGTTCCCAGACAGACAGTGTGTGTGTGTGTGTGTGTCCAACCTTGGCGCTGAACTGGTTCAACTCTCCGTTTTCATGGCCGGCAATGACAAACTCTCCCAGAGGTCCCCACACAGCACTGGTAATCTTGTGGTCGCTGCAAGGTATCGACAGGTAGGGCTGGTTGTCCTCTGCAGATACAGAGCAAGAGAGACTCACTATACCACTGAGAAGAGCCATATTGCTGCTGATCATTATCGCCGACAGTGTAATGGGGAAAAGGTAAATACATTTCAGCTCAGCTGTGTGAAAGCCAACAGAATGTCATCAGACGGCTCGGGAAATGTTAGTTAAATATGAAGTCCTAATTGTAAATGACTATTCAGTTAATTAATAAGTGATTAATAAGAGACCTTATTGCTTTATTTACTACAGAGGGACATTACAGTTTTTACTTTGTCATTTCAATAAAGATACAACCAACATTTGCAAACGTAAATTTACATCAGTACAGATCTAACCATCTCCTAATGTTCTAAAACAGAGCCCCATATGACTTGCTACTTACTAACAAGGAGGGGAACGTGGGCAATCACAGATTTATGGTATGGAATTTGACAAGTTTAACAAAGATGATACAAAATACATCTAACGCATATTTAACAATCTAATTAAAGCCAAACAATCACTGGTAAAAGCTGGATGTGGCGGCCATTTTTCTTTAGTCAACAACTTCCTAATAAACGAATCAAAGTGGCAGCTAAATAAAAGTCTGAGCATTGTGCAGTATGTACCAATCTGCTGTGGATCCCTCAGGTCAAAGAAGTTCAGGAAACACTGGTAACCCATCTGCTTGTCTGTGGAGAACATGATGATGTTGCCGCTGAAGTCGAAGCCGCACGTTCTGACAGCAGAGTTGGTGTTGAGCAGGGCCAGCTGTTTACCTGTGCAGCACAGGGGGACAATGGCGCAGGGGTTAGTAGACGTAGGATTGCCAATCACAAACTACTGCTTCAAATGGACAATTGACACTTTCTGACACTGAAATCAATGCATTTGTACCTACCGGTCTCACAGTCCCACAGTCGGCAGCTGTTGTCTGCTGATCCCGTCAATACATTTTTAGTGTCCCCTGAGAGAGAACGTGTTAAAGGGCACAACATGTATGACAGCAGCTAGCACAGCAACAGACACTGTATCGCACATTACATCAAACATTATATTTGTCTGAGACAAAACAACATGAAGTGTATTTCTTGAAAAAGGATACAGTCGCAGTCGACACACCACACAGCTCCTGTGTGTCCATTGTAGGTGCCAAGCCTCTCGCCGTTGACAGAGTACCACACGTTGGCTACCTACAGTGGGAAACGTAACAACAGATTTACCAAATAAGTTAACACCAAACAAACGTACATGTGGAATAATAGGATAGCATCAAGAGTCAGAGCATCTCTCAGTTACTATCAACTCACCGTGTCTTTAGCTACAGAGAACAGCAGGTCTCCTTCTCTATTGTACTTTATTTGAGTGATGGACCTCTCATGGCCCTGGAGCAGGATGGGTTTCTGTGGAGAGGAGTGTAGATCAGTATCTGGGCAATCTTACCGATTTAGAAAACAGCTTCAGCTGTCCACTAGAGGTAACGTTAACAATAGAAAGTTTTGTCTTGACTAGTAGGACACTCAATGAAGTGATTACGGGGTTTTTTTGCTCCAAAAGGACACATATGGGGGCTGTGGTCTGTGACGACAAACCATCTATCCACGTCAGGTTTACTTGTTTATATTTACATGAGGTACAGTTCTATCAGCTGTCCGGGGCCGTTGAATCATCTTGCGTCATTCGTATCATGCAGCTAATATAGCTAACATCTGTGTTACGCTGGCTAATTTGAAAGCTAAGCTAACGTTAGCCAGGATATATATGCTAGCTAGCTGGAGCTAACTGTCAACAATACAATTACCATTGTTCGGGGCAACATATAACTCGTAGCAGACGGTCACTAAGACACATACTAACCATTTTTCTCAGCTTACTAGGTCCAATATATTCACTGTGGCTCCCGTAAAAACAGAAAAGGTGAACACTCGTGTTTCAGGCGCCGGGGCTGCGACGGAAAAGGAATGTGACGTACTTCCTGTCTCAGACGGCACGATGGCGACAGTGCGCCCTCTAACGGTAGCACTGTAGTACTAAGCCAATTCCATTTTACCACCTTAAAGTACCATACATTTCCCAATTAATAATGCTGTAATTAAAGTGTTTTAATCGATTTTGAAGAGGTTAGTAGATGATTAATTAATGCTGTATTATGTTAGTGTATTTTAATGGATTTTCTACATGGCTTTTAAGGGGTAGCCTAAATAAAACCTTGAACTTGACCAATAATGCAATAATGTGGCATCTACCGTAACACATCTCAGGCCAAATAGCAGGTAGTATCAAAGCCACTCTTTCATTACAACATATAGCTAGGCTTATAGAACAAAGTCTGAACATAAGGCGTTTTCCGCATTCCAGCATGTTGGTCCATAAATATTAGGGACACCGTTTGTGCGGCTTTAGTTGACATATATACAATTTGACAAAAATTTAAAATTGTAATTTCCATATATATACACAACTTGCATACACCTCCATGAATGCACTCACGTAGGTTGCAGGACAGGACGTAAATAACAGAATATGGCAGCAAAGGCTTCAAAGTGACAACAATGAAAGCACATTTTATTTTACCAGAACATACTGAAGTTATATTTCATCATTACGCGCGGGCAGGATATTCAGTTTAGAAAATCATAAATTCAACTAATAGGACGATTTTGTCACTAACACAGACAACATATTTGGGCTGATCTATATGAATTACTTTAGTTTTTGTTGTGTTATGTGGGACTTACTGCTTCATGTAGGTGAACTCCCCTCCCCAAATACATCGCTGCCTTTCTCGTCCTCTGCTGTTTAAATGGTTCACCCAAATCACTAATAAAATAAATTTGCCCACTATTTTTGAAGGAACTTCATATATTTAAAATAAATAATGCCGACATATTTTATGTAAAATGTATAACTTTTCACGTTAGTCTACTGGCACATTTTTGAAAAAAGATTGGAAACTTTTTAACCTCAAAGACACAAGGCAGTTAATTGAAGGAGCATAATTAAAAGCACTGGAAAAGAGCATGAACAGAGAAGTGACACCTGCACACTAACATGAATACACTGTTACATCTTTTATTTAACAAGAAACAAAATATACAGGGTCAGATAAAAGTACTGCAAAAGACAAAAAAGGAAACATCTTTGGTTCCTTCTCATGGTCAATGAACCCCCACATCCGCCACAGGGCCAGAGGTACACAGAATCTGTCCTGTGAGACAATGGAAGAAATTAGGTTTGCCATTTGTATTGAAGTAGAAAATGGCTGATTCTGTAAGTTGACACCTTGTTACCAATGCTACATAATAAGTAGTACATGGGAATGTCTGAAGAGAAATGGACATGTTTGGAAGTGACACTACAATTCAAAAGTCCAATAACATTTTCGTTCCTTTTTCCCTCCGCATCAGGGTGATGCACAATATTGCGTTCAAAGTCAAACAGTTGAGAGACAATTAACAGGGTTCAAACTTGAGCAAAAATAGAGTTCTGCTGTGAGATATGTTGTCTGTTAATATAGTACATCCATGCAGGACAGTAGATATAGTGAATATACATTCTCAGCTAAGTGCTTGTGAGTTCAGACTGCCACAGAATAAAACCAAGAGGCAAGCGTTGCATAGAGGTCCTTGAACATTCTCTAGTTAAAAACCTGATTACAAGCTACTGCAATAACCAGGGCTGGGAGGAGACAATCATCACGTACGCCACACACCCCATACATCCCAACGCACAAAGACGGCGCAATACAGGGGATATGTTTCAAGTGGCCGTCATTACAAGTTTATAAGCAGACTGGAAAACATGGAAAACAAATGTATTAACGGAACTCAAAAAGGTTAGGAATTAAAAGTTGGTCATAAAAGTAACGCCTTAATTCATTTTCTAAATTATCAAAAAAATAAACAGATTTATTTTTATGGTGGTGCTCTGAAAGACACACACATTTCAATATCAGAGATTATGCTTCAACAATAAATACACACCACAAAACCAAACCCTGCACAAACTAAACAGTGTGATTCAAACAAAAAACAAAGAAACATTTCCCTTAAAATGAAGAACTGAAGACTCTGGTGAAACAAATATTGTAAAGTGTTCTTAACATCTGAGCTATGTAAAGAAAAAGAAAAGAAATCTTAATGAAAAACATCCTTCAATTGTTATTTTTATGTTAAGAATTGGATTAGCTGAATACATCATTTGTTTAACATCTCTGTTAAGACTTCACCTGAAAGAAACATTACGTTACTATAGGTGGCCTTTAGGATACTGCAAGCCAACAGACACTCAAGATGAAAATGAGACAGTGTCTCCCCACACACACACACACACACCCCATTTAACCTCTGATGACTCCCCTTTCCATTTACCGGTTTGTCTTGTGTCATTCCAAGCAGCATTGTTATTTATCTTGCCAAACTGTTCTGTGTTTGATGCAAGTCAAAAAGGCCATGTGTAGTAAAACAGCACAACACAGAGGCATCCTGTGCATTCACATGCACACTCATACTGAGGTTATTGCAGATTGCAGCGTCCATAATGTGAACAGGGTTGTCTTAGTCGAGTTAAGTCGGAGCTGGATAACTTGTCCCTTTAATTACTGTGATATTCATAAACCTGAAGTCTGATTTGGTTCAGCGCAGACGCCAGAAAAGCAGTGGACTGAAAGCCATGTTGCTACACAAACAGTGGCATGTGGAGCACGTTTTTGGTCACCAAGAATGTGGCAATTTTACAACTAATACATGAAATGATCAATTTGAAAAACACCAAAAAGACTCCTCCAACTTTCCCCCTCTACTGTGTGATGCTTATAAGGTGTTTCCTGTAGGCTTCCTGTGGAAATTAACCAGACTAATAAATGAACCATGTAAATCTGAATATTGGGGAAATAAGATTATGAACCATGTAAATGCTTTAATCAAATTATTACCTGAATCAGGTTAGTCACAGTCATTGAGTTATGGTGTGCATGTAAATGTACTGACGGACGAGGCACACACTCATCAACTTTATAAAGCCTGCAGAGCATGCTGGGAGAACACAAAGTAACCTTGCTATCTGATCTGCTTCTGGACCAGTGTTTAACATCCGCTTCATCCAGCAGAGGAGTAGCGGCTTGCAGGTTGGTGGCTTGATGCTGGAGGGGAAAGAGGGGACTGTGAGCAGCATTGCTTCATTCCTGTGCAGCGATGGCCTGAGCCCCTTCAAGTAGGGTGTCTGTGTCCAGTTCTGGGTCACAGTGGCAGGACTGGGAGCAGGGAGCGGTGTCAGGGAGGCTGCTAGGCTCCTGCAAAGAGTCTGTAGGCGGCGGAGAGGGGGAGTCAGTCCCTGGGTCAGAGGTGGGGGCTCCTGTGGTGCCACTGTGCGGATCGCTGAGGTTCTGAACCTTCTTGTTGAGCTCGTTGCGTTCCACTTTGAGAGCTCGCCGCAGCTTCTCGAGCCGCTGGACTTTACCCTGAAGTGCCTCAAACTCACGGTCCTGCACAGATTTCTGTAGACAAACACACACACACGTCACTCTTTATGCTTTTGTGTTATAGTTATCTGCGCTGACACAATTTGACTATACGCTCTTTTCTTCCAATCACATTTCTATCCTTTTAATTAGACCAACTTTACATCTTTAAACATGCACAAACATCCTAAGAGGATGAACTCATAGTATTTCCTGGTGCAGCAGGGCCTTCTCCTTCTTATGGCTGCAGCCAAAATTAGGCCACAGGAGTCTTTTGCTAAACTTCACAACACTTTCTGCTGCTACAAGACAAACAGATATAAGTACTACACATCAGACCATAAACCTTTCTTAGTAAGATAAATGGCTTCAATTGAATTATCTAAATAAAAAGAAAACATATCCTGCATTCGAGCCTTCTAAAGCTGGTTTGAATTGGGTTTTTGCATTGGTTGTCTTCAATCATTAGAGACCATGTGATGTTAGTTAGGACAGTGAGATCCCTGACGCTGGTAGAACACAATCAAAGTGCTGTATAATATACTAAAGTTTTACTCAGGGTGAAGCACTTTCGGTCAGAGCATGACAATAAGCAACAAAAGGCTGCTTTACCTCCTCTGACATCTCCACGAGAGCCTTGTTGCTGCTCTCCCACCTGGACCGATACATGGCCGTCTCCTTCTCCAGCTTTTTGATCTTTTTAGTCATCTGTAACAAAAAGGAAACATGATGTCACATCCAATAAAGGGTCAATAGAACTCCTCCTCCTCTCTTTCTTACACCCTCACAGCAGCGCAGACACCTCACCTTCTCCATCTCCTGTTTGAATGTGGTGAAGACCTCATTGCTCTTGCACAAAGTGGTCTGGAACTCTTCAAACTTCTCTGTGTACAGCGACAGCTGGAAAACAACACAACGCGGGTTTTCAGCATATGAAGATGCTTGTCGCAAACAAAACAACCATCGTCACGGTAAAGTCAATCACAGTCGAGCTGTAAAGGTGAAGAGTAAAGACTGATGGGAAACCTGCTGTTTGAGGTGAACTTCCTGCTGCTTCATCAGCTCGCACATCCTTTGAGACTCCACCGCTTCTTTCAGCAGCTGAGGAGACGAAGGGAAAAGACTAATAATTGAAACATTTATATATAACAACAAAAACCAAAGGCCGTGGAAATGTATGAAGGTCTGGTAAGGATAATTACAAATTCTTTCTCTCTGTCGTGGCGCTCCTCCGACTCCTTCAGCAGCTCCTGAGCCTGGTGCAGCTTGGCGTCCACCAGCTGTTGCTGCAGGTCTTTGTGCTTTACCACTTTGTCTATGTGCTGGTTTCAGGGAAATAAAAATTGCAAGTTATAAGACATTACACACGCAGTTTGAAATGAAAGAAAACTCACATACTGCACTTAAAACGGGCAGCGCACCTCTTCCCGTAGTTTGTACTGTTCATAGAGCTTCTTCAGTTTCTCAGCCAGCTCTGTGTTCTCTTGTCGAAGACTGGCGTTCCTCTCGTTGTGCTGCTCCATCTGAGCCTGGATGTCGTTCAGTGTCACCTGGAAATGGGAGGTCACTTCCTTCCTTTTCTCTTCCTCCAGACGCGTTCTTTGCACCCCTTCCTCCTGCAGAGGGAACGGAGTGGAACATATAACACAATATAACGTGTGCGAAAGGAATGTTTGTGTTGTGTTGCCTGCCTCCATCTTAAAGAGGTCAATTCTGGCCAGCAATCGACAGCAAGACATTTCACTCCTCTTGTAATGAACAATCAATTTATTTTAAAAATGCTTCAACATATACTGTGTTATGTCTAAAATCACTGTATTCTCCACAGAACAGATGAAGGCAGCTAATCTGAGGAGAGACCACGTTTTAATAAACCCATAAATATACAAAAGCTGGACCTTAGAGAAGCGATGGTTGCAGGAAGTCATTTTTTAAAAATCACTGCAGCAGTTTGGAGTCTATATTCATGATACTGGTGCCTGGTTTGTACCTTGAGTGTGCGGTTGTGTCTCTGCAGCTCCCTGCAGAGACTCTCCAGCTTGCTGCGAGCCAGGATGGCCTTGCTGTGTTCGTTCCTCAGGTTGTCTTTCTCCTGGACCAGCTGGTTCTGCTTCTTCTGCAGCACTCGCATTTGCTTCTGGGTGTTACGGTGTTCTTCCAGCTGTCACAAACACACAAACGCGTTTTGAGGTGTTCCACGGTCAAACTAAGATTACACTCCTATTGGCCGCTGATTTTATGATGCCTGCCAAACCTAGTCTCTACCATTGATAAGATGCCGTTCGATGTTAAGGTCAATGCAGGCTAATTTTTTATACTAAAACAATACTAATATTATATGTATTAAACTGCTTTATTTTCTAATAAGCAGTCCATGTTGCTGTAATGTATTGTGACCTATGACTATGCCTTACACTGCATCCTTTGCAACGCGACTATAACATGCATACATGAAGGTGAAACATAACATTCGGTTGACGTGCCTTCTACCTTCAGCCAGTAACATCACTGCAGACCAATCTTAATCTATCAGCTCTGACACACTGCCAGATCACACACATCAGCTTCCTCTAGCTCATACACATCCAAACAAATAGTCTGTCTTACAAACGTCCACGCACAAACACACACACAGTCGCCATACAAACCTCCTACAGCATAAGCAGCCCCAGTAGATAATTAGAGGTCATCATTAGTGCTGCAAAATGCTACACGCCGCCCTGGCATGTACTGAGGTCATAGGACAGAGCTCTGCATTGCACCACTCTGTGTCTGTTTGACAAAGATCGCTGCATCACCTTGAGGTGTACCCACACTCCTTGTTTGCAAAGAAGTCCCACTGACCTACTCTGTAGGAAAGCATCTCTTTTATTAACGAGAATTTCCTATTTTTAAGTCAGTTGCCGCACTGGACACATTCATCCAATGACCCGAGTGTTTTTAGGTCACCCACTTTAGAATAAAAAAAATGTACATTTTAGAAACAAAAACTGTATCTACTCATATTCGCTATTGAACCAGACAGTCATTATGTATGTGATGATGTATGTATTGTATGTAAATATTTGCCAGCATAAATGCCCGTTCCCTATGCTGTTTCTATTTCACTCCATATTCTCCCTTTGCAGAAAGCACCAGGGGCCTGACTTTGCACCAGACAGACCAGAAAACTGTTCATTTCACTTACAGTCTGGGATCCAACTTTGGAAATTACTGACAAAAACATATTTATATTTAATTAGGAAAAAAAAAAAAAAAACAGTACACTGCTGTATTTATAGAGGTTATTTCTTATTTTACCAATTTAATTCTACACCTTATTTTTGTGTTTACTCATAAACTACTTTAATCTGCTCACTTTGCTCTTCCAATCAGTTGTCTTATTCTTTTCTCCACACACACACACACACACACACACTTCTTTCCGTTTCTCTCCCTGTGTATGTGTCTGCTCTGTTGACATTCTTCGTCAGCAGTATTTTTTATAAAGTCACGCAAAAAAAAATAAAATAAACCCCACAACTCACAATTCCACTTTGTGTGTAGGAGGCTTGTTATTAATGACGCAGTATGTCGAATCGTCAAATGACATTGGCACCAACCGGGTGTGTTCATTCCTGGTTCATTGCTTCTACCATGTATTCACATACACCTGGCCTAGTGATGGACTGATATGGGGTTTTCAATCCCCGATGTCGAAATTTAGAGTACAGTAATGAATTAAATAAAAAAATACATTGGGTTATGCTGTAGATTTCAGAACGTGACTGGTGTTTAAGAAAAATAAAATAAAATCTATATGAAGAGTAGTTCCACAGGCTAGACTTCAGATTAAAAAAGCGGGAAACACTCACCAGTTCAGCATACTTCTTACAGAGGCCTCCAAGCTTTTCCTCTGGGGTGCTCAAAGTGTTTAGAGTCTGCATGAGAAGAGTGATCTCTTTGCCTGCATAAACAAGGAAAACAGAGATGGGACGGAGAGCCTGTTAGAAAACTGAGTAGAATTAATGATTGGTTTCTTTAGCAAACTGGCCTCTAAACAGTTTAAAAGCTGGCATCTGGCAATGTTTTTGTTTACACTTTTCCATCGGTATAAAGCAACCTATAGAACTAAACCATCAGCAATCCATAAAAATATACGCAGTGTCTCATGGACGTCTTGTCAGCAAAATGCACTCATAGTCTCCATGGAGATTCTTGTGAAAAGAGTAGGGTACTCCTTACCCAGACCCTTCACTTTCTTCTTCTCCTGAGTCTTCTTCTGCTCCTTCTCCACCCCGTTGTTTGCTCCATTGACTTTGCTTTTCTCTGGCTTGCCGTCCTGCCTCTCACTGGCCAGGCCATTGAGCTCTGGGCTGTGTGACTGGCCATTGGGCAGGGTACTCGCGTCGTCTGAAATGCTTTCCCGACAGTAGGTGCTGAGGATGTCCTCCAGCTGCCGGCTCAGCTCCTCAGCCATGTCACACTGAGACAGTGATGCCTCTGCAACTAGGCACAGTAGAGGGAAAAAACATGGTTAAAGAAGGCAATTATTTGTGACTTCTGGGACTCTAGGGAAAGATGGGAACTTCTAAAATACACCCTACAAACAAAACTTGGACTACTTCTGGCAATACTCCCGGCATTTCTGGCTCCTGGTTATAATATGATGGTTTCTCCAAACAAAACATGGCAATGGCCAGTCAAAAAGTTGAGGCACTTGCAGCACAAGTACAAAGACATTTAGTTAGTTAGTGTTTAGCACAGCAGCTTTCACCTCTTAAAAACACCCACAATTGACAATATGCATTCTTGTGACTTAAGAAATCACATGTTGGACTGTACATAGTGAACAATATATGCAGGCTTTACTGTTAAACTTTTTAAGGTTTGTTTAAAGATCTTCAGTGGTCTTCTACACTACAGATGTCAAGACAACCGTACCAAAATAAAATATGTCAGTACTCATTTTTCTAGGTACCAAAAGTAAAATGTAAACAGGGATCCAACACGCGGATTATGGTGACAAGCACAGCGGCAGCTCAATTAGTCGAAAAGAAAAAAAGAAAAACAGTAAGAGTCGCGTATAGAAGTACTTTCCGTTACCATTATCTTTGTTTGAGACTATGTAGTGACTAACTGACAACTAAAGTACTAAAGGCTACCGTGTTAAGGCTAATGTTACCATTCAGTCTGTGTCATCTGTTGTAATGTTGTTAGCGTTTTAAATAAATATTTAAGTAATGGTCTGTCACCACGTCAGTAAATTTAAACTACTGCTATCACTGAGGTGTGTGTGTAGCCTGTAGTACAGTTACTGAGCTATACTTGATAACTCATTAAGAGTATATATTAAAGTACATGGGATTTATCATTTTGTTTTTGTTTTTTTATGTGGTATCGAATATCGTGGAATTTCTCTGGTATTCATTATCGATTACTAAATTTCTGGTATTGTGACATCCCTACTCTACAAAAGGTAAATATGGTTTATAAGCAGCCCACATTAAAGTGGCAGGTTTCCAAGTGGGATTTGGTGTACAGTTCTCAAAAAAATACACTGATACGAGTTGTCGCCTGCTCCCTACTGCCCATATTTTAAATGGCTCTGGTGAGACACAGACATACTATTTACCTTGTAAATAATTATTAAAACGTTACCTTCACCTCCTGCCTCGTCGCCTTGTGGCGGCGTGTCTGTCTGTGGCGTCTGTGGTTCAGACTCTTTGGGGCTGTTGCTGTCCAAGCTGTCTTTTGCAGCTGCAGGTGCCTCCACCTCTCCTGCTGCAGGTGGAGCAGCCTCACTGCCCTGGGTGGCAGACTCTTCCGTGTCTTGTTTTTTCATCTCTTGTATCTGTTAAAAGTAGAAAAACCCGTGGCACACTGCCTGAAATGTTATAGCTAAAAATGCCGCTGCTTTCTAAGTTTTGGGAAAGCTGGACAGAATCTTTATTCTAGTAATAAAGTAGTAACGTTATGTGTACTTGACAATTTGGATCAAGCTTTTAACCCGCCGTGTCTGTAGCTGACTTATAAGTTACAGACTTCTGTAAGGTTAACACATTTCTTTAACTTAGCACAATGTATACATACGTTAATAACAATATGCTTAACTTGGCATGGGGACTTCATCAAAATCTCATAGCAAAATGTGGCTACATCTCCCACCAAGTGTGCCCTGTCCTCACAAGCTTTCGCTTTACCACTTGCTATGCTTAGCACATGCTAACGCTCGCTAGCCGCCAGATGCAGCTAAATTAGCTCGCACGACTAACCAGTTAGTCAGTGTTAGCTCATGTACACAGGACACAAACATCTAAAAACATAGGCAGACTACACATGCACTCGTTCATCAATGACATCCCGCTTTCTCATATATTAGGGAATTGTTTACCTTCAGACTCAAGGAGGAAATAGCTAATGTATCCGTGAACTGCAGGTTTCCTCAACAGCGTGAGCCAGAAAAAGATAACTTCCGGTCAAAACTTGGATCCTTCTTCTTCCTTTTAGTTTTTAACGGCGGTTTACATCCAGCCTTGATGCTCTGCCGCCACATAGAGGACTAATAAATTACTGTTTTTCAGAGAAACTGAAAATCCAAAGATGAGCCACTGGCTTAGATTTGTTTGTTTTTTAAACATAAATTAAATTAAACAAAATGAACATACATTTAATGTTTTTATTAAAAACAAATCCTGAGCAACTTACAATTGCTTTGCACGTCAGAGGTTAAGTGTCTTGCTCAGGGACACGTTAATGGATGTGTCGCGGGAGGAATCGAACCCAAGTCTCTCACACCAAACGTGTCTTTTCACCACCTCTGCAAGCAATTTAATAAATAGATAGTTTTGGAGTCGTCGTGTATTTCACAGCAATAAGCAAACATTTCAGTGGTTTATTCTGACTGACTTGAAACCAGGATCCGGATGGGTTTAGTACAAAATGTCCCACTTACAGCTCTTTCTACCTCATGAAGATCCATTTTAACCACTTCCTACTGAAATGGGTTAAATGAGGTTGAAATTAAATGAGAACAAATGCAACATTTGGAAAATGCCCTTTGTTGTGTAGCATTTCTAATCTCATTATTTGGAACTTTTCTCCCATGAAATTAGAGAAATTTAATAAAATACTTGTAGCTATTTAAGCTTTAAACTAGAGCATGCATCCCTTAAAACGTAACATATATATATTGGTTAAATCATTTCACATTAGGTCTGACATTTTAAACAATGGATATAGAAGTGGGGAGAAATCACTTTCAAGTCACTGACTTGCTAGTCAGTTCAGTACCGTATATATTGTAGTACAGTAACATTCCAGTGATGAAAGAAGAAACATTTTCATTAAAGGGTTGTAACATAACTTTATTTGTTTTCTACAGTATTTCCACTGAACAATTTTAAATTCAATACATTTTCTTTACATTTTTAATATTGTTGCTGTTTCCTGTATGCATTTTTTCCCCATGTTCATGTTTGTGTGTCATGTTCAGTTGAAGTGTATTTCTCGTCACTCATTCATACCGTCGGTAAAGTCAAGTCAAGTCACAGTTTCAGATGGGTAATTTTGAGCAAATGAAAAATCATGAACAAGAATAGAGAAAATAAATACATGTAAAAGAAATGAGAGGACCAGAGCAGAAAATACATCAGGACTGGTCAGTGATGGCATATGAAAAGTATTTTACAAACATGTAGCATTGTAAACATTTGTAGCGTAGACAACATTACTTGACCAAGCCAAGCATGGCTTTAGATTTTGATAGACATGAACGGCTTCTAGGACGGAAGACAAGTCAGATTTGAGATATTTAGTGATGTCTGTTCATTCCCCCATAGATTACAAGGTTCCTGATCATGCAGCCAGACTAGGACAAACTTTTACTCTAAACACAATTATCCAAAAATATAGCCCAGAATATCCTGATCAGGAAAAAGATCAAGAAAAGCAGAAAAGGCTTGTATCCTCACCTCCTATTTTATTGTCTATTTTTTTCCTGTGACATGTTCTAATGAGGCTTTTTTCTCCACTTCTCAGAAGTGATTACAATTGCATCTGAATCCCTGTCAATGTATCAGAAAATACATATAGTTTAACTTGTAATACTTTTTAATGTAAATCACCGCACAATTTCTGAATCCCAGATTTTATCTTAGAAAAAGGTAAAGTAGTTGCCCGCCGTTAGATCCACCTCGTGGGAGGGGTGTCACCTGTGAGAGCAGTGTGTAGGTGGATATTTGCCTCTGGGGTGCCTGATTTTGGACAATAGTTATTGCAGTCTTCTGGATTAGTTTGCAGATTTTCTAACTCTCTAAACAGTACTAACAGAAAAAATACAACTGAGAAGAGAGGGACTGGGCTATTGCAGCCTCTAATGAAAAGAAGCACATTTGAAATGGCCTGAAACACTCTCGTAGTCATAGTGACTGGGTCAACACAAGCCAATTACATGAACTATTGAAAACAAAAGAGAAAATAATTTCAACCAGCCTTTAGATAAAACTTTGGTAAACTAAGACAATAAGGTTAGTACCTGCAATTGTCTGCTATGATAGTCGCTTAAGTTTCCTCAATTTGCATCATGTGCCACATTTAAGTACCACAATATTTGTATTAGCGCAAAGTCTCTTTTTGCACAATGAGGGACTTGCTAATGCCATGACATCAAGAAAATGCTCAATATTATGCTCCACTGTGCAACATGAAATCAATTCTTTAATTCCAAAAATATCTGCAGCTTAGCTCTGCACAGTGAAAACCATTTGAAGACTGTAATAGCGGGGACCATCACAGCAAGTAGCTGGAAAGACCAGTTTTATGCAATAAATCAAGTAACCCCCCCTCAGACAATTACGCTACCTTAATTGAATTCGTTTTTTTTTTGTTTTAAGTTGCCCACAGTAAAGAACGCCACTTTTCCAAAGAAACAATGGCAAATAATGTAACTTTAAAGATAAGGAAAATAGAGCAGCAATGTTTTGCACAAAATGTGTGCACATTCAAGTAAATAAAAGATAAAGAAAATAATCTATAAGTCAAAGACAGATACATAAGAACCTCCAGTCTTTGTTGGTCGGATTGGCACTTTTGTGAATAGGAGTGCATTTTCAATTTTCAGAAATATAAATATTTTTTTTCCTGGTTGATGTACTGATCATTTTTTTCCCCTCTCCTTTCCTTTTAAACATTGCAATTCTGGCATTATTTGTAGGCCAAGCACAGAATTGGCCATGATATCGTTCCGTTATAAATGCTGCTCTACACATCGGTCATGTAGAGGTCAGTTCTTGATGCTCAATTATTCATGATTTAAACTCTCGTGTCATCTAGGAGCACACGTGTTCTGTGGATAACATCTCAAAAACTCATGAAGCAACAACAGAGAGCCTCACCAACACCCGTTACTCATTCAGTCAATTAATGCTCAAAATATTTGTGTTGCATGTAGTAACAGCCGCTTATACTATGACTATACTGCACAGACTAAAGTCCTGTGAAAAAAAACAACAACTTAAAACCGAAACTAACCAATTGGAAAAATAGGGCTGGCTCAGTAATCCACAGAACAGGGGCTCCCAGATTCTGATGGGGACATAGTCACAGAGTCAATGAACCTTTTCCTCACACAGTGCCCGTCAGTCAAACATCACACGACCACAGTTCTGCTTCATCCACAAAGCCTAAACCCTGATCCAAGATCAGCTTCTGTCACACACATAGCTGATCTGAGATCAGGGTTTACAGGGCTAATTTAAAACCAACATAAGTCATGTGGCTAGAAACAAACAAAAAGTTTCCATAAGACCCACGTGTGTTCCGAATAACTTCTGAATTCAAGAAACATCACTTTTCATTGTCTCAATTAAGCCAGAAAATCATCTTAAATAAAACTGAACCAAGGGCAACATTTTTATAAATAAAGAAAAATACTAAGTGCTCTGAAACAAAAAAAAAAAAACAAAAAAAAACCCCAGCCAAAATGTTCATTTTCACACTTGGAGAAAAGCAAAACTTTAAACTGAAAAACAGAAAGAACTACTTTCTTTTAATCCAAAGACTATGGAAACTATTTTACTTGCTACTAGCCACTCATCTATGTGAGGTGTGTGTACAGTGTCTGCTGGTGTTGTATGCAAGTGTGCATGAAGTGTGCGCAAATATATATGTAGATATATATATATATATATATATAATGCAAATACATCAAAATTCAAATATATATTTATACTTGAATTTTTTGTTGCAGTTAGGCTCGTCACTTGTCAGAGATATATCCCTAGCCAAACTCTGGTTGTTTTTTTTAGACCCACATGGGGACAAAGAAGCGGCGTAGACTCTCCTAGCCAGGCAGAGGATAGGCTATTTACACCAATACCTACTTATGACAACGGACCCATGCAAAATCATTAACAGTTGTCATTCCAATTCCTCAAAAATATAGTGAAATAGAATGGCATAGGTTATATATTAATTCTACCACTATACAAAACACTATCACCGTTAACGTCACCAAACCCACTTCCTGCTTTTTAACTCCAGGACAACAAGGAACGCTGAGCAGTGTACTGCAACGTCTCACAGTATTTCTTCACACTATTCTCCGTCTCTCTGTGCCAACTGTCTACGTTTGGCCAGGGATACTCAGTGACTGCAGGCAGGGTAAGAACACCATGCAAAAACCCTACCACATAAATCTGGGGGGTGGGGAGGGGAGGCACAGGGCCTAGCTAACCAGCAGCAACCTGTTTACACTGAGCTCAGAAAATCAAAACTATAATTGTTTTGTCTGATGAAATTCCCATGATATCTCTGTACCTCACGTGGTATTTCACCCTACTTTAGACATCTGCAATCCCTTGAATTCATTCATAAATATAAAAATAAGTTTGGTTTGCTGCTGCTGCCGACGTTTCCCCCCTAAATCCCCAGCTATGCCTTGTTTAATGGTTAGATCACTTCATTATTCAAATGTATTGTTATTAATAACACAGCACACGACAAACATCGGATCTCTAGCTATACCACCCTCTTTTTCCTTCTAGATCTCTTCAAGATATCTCAAAACCCAATCCCTTTTCCAATATTCCATCCCAAAGCCCTTCCTTAGTTCAGACAGTTATCTAAATGTTTATACTTCTTCCCACCTCAACACCCCCACCGAAATTTGTCCCACTTAGAAAAATGTTAATAGATGAAAAAACACTTCTTATTCTTAGCTTGGGCATCAGGACAGTAGAAGCCCTGGACTTTGGGTGGAAATGTGTGCCTCTGAACACACATACAGATAAGATCCCCCCCCACACCCACCCAATCAGCAGATATGCAGAGACCAGCCCTAAGCCAATAAAGAAAAAAGACAAAAATCACAAACACAAAAAAAAAAGAGAAGATAAATAAGGGTTGGGGGGAAAATAACTAAAAGGAACCTTGTTACGTGTTTTTTTCTTTGATTTGCATTAAGTCAAACATATGACATCAAGATCTGGGCATATTTCACCTCATGCACCCCTGTTGGTGGACTTTGCATGGGGATGCATGAGTAATCCTGAATATAGGAATGTCCCATTAGAAAAGCAATTAAAGTATATATAAAGATATTGACCAACCGTTGTTACTGCCAATGAGGCTAAGAGCTATCAAATGGCAGATGGAAGATGTCTGTGTGTGCGTTTTAAGCCAGGGCAGACTCACACTTTGGGCTATGACGTGATCACGTCCTCTTCTAAATGTAATGGAGTTTGTGTGGAGCTCTCCCCTTGGCCATGTAACACATCAGTCTGCTTGGGGAGGATTTGGGGGGGGGGGAATCATACAAAGGTATGACTCAGGTAACTAGGGACCCTCCATGAGGTGGGGAGGTATGGAGTGGGTTAATTGGGGTATTTTAGAGGAGGAAGGTGCTGACTTATAACTGGAAGCCCTCCATGGGGGCCTCCTGCTGGGGGAAAAGGAACTGCTGGTTGGCCTGGTCCACCTGAGGGGCTAGACTGTTGTCCTCGTCCTCCACCCCGAAGTAGTGCTCAATCAGGTCAAAGGCCTTCTGGTAGATCTCCTGGTTGTCGTGGCTCTGGAGGAACTCTATCTTGTCAAGACCTGGAAAAAAAGTCATGTTAGATGAATGTACATTGGCAAAATAATAAGCTTTTCTTTTCGAAAAAGGAAAATCAGATCGAGCCAGTCACTGCTGAGTAGGACTAATGCTTAGGAACACTTTATGAGTACGGACCAGAATTTGTCTGTAGCATAAAGTATGTAAAACTGTCATATATCTAAAGTTGGCTCAGTGTGCCTGATTTATACTTCTGCGCAGAGTGAAAAGCGTAGTCTATGGTGTAAGCTACGCATGTAGTCATGCATTTATACTTGGTATATACTTGCCATAGTTAGCAGTAGCGATATAGCACCTGCAGTGTTGACTTTTGCTGGTCAAGCTGGCTAACTTCCGTCTAGCCCTACACTAACTTGAATGGGGCTAAAACGATAATTGTGCAGCTCTTCTAGACTTTTCAAATGTTATCGACCGAATGGATCACATTTTGGGGGAAGAGCGTGTCGGGCTACGGCTACGGCGTACGTGGCTACGCGTAGGCTTATCGTTTCATCTAAATCAGGAAACCTTTAACTTTAGACTATATTTTGTTAAGGCAAAATTCTTTAATTAACACTGATGCACTGATCAGTTCTGCATATTGTGTTCAATACCAAAAGGAATGAAACATGTTTTGGTGACGTTTTATCCTTGACAAGATGTTTTCACTATTCTGGGTTTCAATACACGGCGCTCTTAGTGTGCTTTGAAAAGAAAGATTTGCAGCATGTCTGCTCTTACCAGCTTCTTATATGATGATATACAGTAAATCAAACCCTTATCATATGGGTTTTCAGTATGCATGTGTTTTAGGGATGAAACGGTATGAATTTTTCATATCACGATTATAGTGACCAAAATTATCACGGTTATCAGTAGTATCATGGTATTGTAAGAATGTGCCAAAAAAACATTAAAATGTACTGGTACACACACTGAAACCATCTCAACAAATTTGATATTGAAAACTATAAATACAATTGCCATTTTGTTTGCATAAAAAATAAAACAACAGCAAATACCTTTTGTAAACATATGAAAATCATCTAAGTGATCAAGATTTTATATTACATAGGTAATACAATGATCCCGTGGACAATTACATGAAAACAGTCTATAGAAGACAGTGATAGTAACTGTAATGAGCCCAAAAACTGACTAGTCGAAGATTTGATGCTTCGATGGGCGGAGTCAATCTCACAGTCGAAGGATCGCAGCGGAAACAAGGATCATGCCATTTTGGCTATGTGGGGGTGCTCAACGTGTGATTTTACATAGAACTACCAGTTTTCTCCCAATAAGTTAATATACAGGCTATTACAGTATACATTTCAATATTTAATGCTGTAAATAAACATGTAAAAAGAATAAAACTTTCAATAAATGTTTTTAAAAGAGTGTGAATAAATCCAAAATTGTAACCCTAACCCTGGGTTGTCAGTGCGCATGTGTAAGCGTAGCGTGTGTGTGTGCAGTGGCAGTGGAGGAACATTTGCAGAGACAGTTTGAAGAGACCGATCCTCAGCTTCACGGTGTTGTGCCGAGTTGTTCGCACCTCGCAGGACCTTCGGATAATTCATCACCACATAAAGATTATCGTTTTTAAATAGCCGGCTACTTGAAATAGACCTGCGAGGAACCGTGACATGCATGCAGTTGACGGCAGAAGAGTCTGTAGCGTTTCTAAATATGCTGGTTGGTTGACTAAACAGCGTAACGTGTTATCGTGTGCAGTGGCCAAATAGACTCTGCCGACACACGACGCACACAGCAACAGAACGTGTAGCGTTTTTACAAGAGCAGCAACACAGAGCTTCAGTTTACACGCTGTTAGCAGGTCAGAGAGACAAACCAAAGCTACAAGTTAACTCACCCTGCGTTCACTATAAGGTCATTTTCTTCAATCAAGTTTCCTTTAGCGCTGTCATAAAAACTAAAATACCACCGGATTTCACAGTGTTGTCTATGACCCAAACAAACCCACGTTGCATTCTGCGCATGCGCGCCTGCTTCTGGGAGACGCTGGACAGTGTTTGCTGTGAGATTATAACAGCGCGGTTAACCGTACCTGGTTATCATGGTAATTAAAATGTGTACGTTAATAATAACTGTCGGGAATTTTACCACAGTTTACCGTTAATCGTTTCATCCCAATGTGTTTGTATGGACATTGTGTACAGTACCATAGGCTTCTTCAATGAGGCTGCAGTAAGGATTCACTCCAGTGCCGTTGTTCTCCTGCTTGGCCTCCTGCTCGCCCAGCCTCAGGATGTTCTCCAGCCCATTGAGCGCTACTTGAACGATCTTAGAGTCCATGACGGTCAGCAGATCACATAGGGGCTTAATGCAGCCCAGGTTCACCAGATATCTACACACACACACACACACACACACACACACACACACGTCAGATTGATTCTTAAATGTTTAATTTCAAGGTAGGGCTGTAACTAATGATTATTTCAGAATCAGTTTTATTGCCAGGTATGTGTACACATACGAGGAATTTGACTCAGGATTGTACATTGCTCATGATTATCGACTAATCTGTAGACTATTTTCACGATTAATCGACTAATCGTTGTCAATGTCAAGAAATTGTGATAAATGCTCATTACAATTCAGCAGAGCCCAAAGTGACCAAAGTTTGTCCAACTAACAGTCTACAACCCAAAGACTCTTCATTTACTATCATAAATGACAAAGAATAGCAGCAATTCCTTACATTTAAGAAGATTAAACAAGCAATTTTCCACATTTTTGCTTTAAAAAAAATGTCTGAACCGATTAATCGAAATAGTTTAGTAATAGTTCGATTAATTTTCTTGCGATCGACTAATCATTGCAGCTCTATTTCAAGGTCACTTTTTCCATTTACAACGCAGTGTTCTTTATCCAGATTAGAGGGTTTCAAACTGTGAGGTGTGCCTCCCCAGGCTCAGCAAAGATACTGTTTAAGGTGAAAGGGACAAGTGCATCCCACTGTGTTGTCAAACACAACTGGAAGTTAGTTATTGCAGTTTGGCCAGCGTATCAACATGGTCAACAGTTGGAGCAACAACTGACTACTAGAATTAGTGTCAAAGATTGTACTCCTTGTTCTCGCAATCATACCTCTGCGAAATCTGACCGCATACACACACGCACACTTTTAGATTCAGTGTGACATTTCCAAGCACACCACTAGCACAGTTCATTATCTCCGATGTCCATCACAAACAAACGCCCATTCATTCATTATGAAGTCACAGAAAGAAAGACGCTCTTTCTATAGAAGTTGGCTGAGAATCATGTTTTCCAGCTTTCTTCAATATATTTGGCATATTTTTAAATGGTGACCATTTTCCAAAATTTACACATATATCAGTTGAAGTTGTAGCCAACAGCTAAGTAACTGCTTCCTTGGCAACATTACTGTACACTTCCTGTTTACATCCCCAAAGCCCTCAAATTACGGGAACTGTAGTTACAAAACTCACAGCACGAGTATCCTGCAAATCAAATTAGGACAATGAATAATAACTGGAGGGACAAATTATTAGTATTGCACTTATTATAGGAACCTTATATTTTTGTCAGGACTACGGCTCAGAAAGTCCCATCAACATAAAAGATTGTAGGATGAACATTAGATTTTAATACATTTCAGTTTTTATTTAAGTCCCAATTTGCTTCATTGTAATTAAGCTAATAATTCTCGATGATTCCTATCAACGCCTGAATATTCAGAACCATGGCACTGCCTTGTGCATAGTATTCCCTTTTTTTTGTTTTTTTTTTAATTTTATTTTTAAAACCACCTAATTTCTCCATGGGAATCTTCATTTCCAGTATGTCACTTCATATTTTTACTTCTGAAATATTTTCAGTCACTAGCTGTCAGGAAAAGATTTGTGTTAATTTATGGACAGATACATATTAAACACCTAAACATGTTGAATATCTGTCACTCTAAGTGTTTTTTAAAAATTCTTCCAACTACTAGACAATGTGCTAATCATGCGTCCACACTCCACAGCCATCACTTGATCAACAAACACTTTCAACTGACCACTCTATTTAGTAGACCCAACTGATCTGGTACTGATATGATTAACTTATTGAAATTAAGAGATGATAAATCACGAGCACTCTCATTCAAATCATTCTTGGTATTAGCTGAGGGGGATTTGTAGCATACTGTTTATTTACTGCAAGTCTGACCTGATCTGTTCAGGTGTTCCTCCAGAGGTGGCGTTGGTGATGGCCCAGGCCGCCTCTTTCCTGGTCCTAAACTCCGCTTTCTGTAAGATGTCGATCAGCACTGGGAAGATGTTTGCATCAATCACCGTCTGCGGAGCAGGATGATATGAAATCAGGGGTGTCTCAAGCAGCTTCAACACAGTTATGCCATACTTACCGACCTAACCCTGGTGAACAGAGACAACAAAAGCAATGTGTGCAGCCCATTTTGTCTTAGTTACTGGTAGGACTGCACAATTAATCTAATCGCAATCACAATGTCATCATAAAGGTGTGCGATTTAATAAAACAGTAAAAGTGTGAGACACTCTTCTGTGTATGCGCTGCAGTCTGCTCATTATCTCCGCCCACACCGGGCTCCCGCATGTGCCTCTAAAAACAGATAAGCCTACGTGCAATCAGAAAAATGATTTATGAGCGAGTAACTTTTAAGACAACAGCCTACAGTAACCCCCCTCCCCACCCCGCCGTTATTCGTTCAAAACATATTCGGACGAGTCACCAGAGCACAGAGAGAAACGCTCTGTGACAGAGACAGAGAGACGTCGGCAGCAGCTGAAGAGGTAAGAGAGAAGAAAATTGGGAGACGATAAGAAGGTTTGAGTTTGACTCTCTGGCCATCATTGTTATACATGTTCAACTTTTCACAGAGGCGACGTGCTTGTCAATCACTTTTTGTCAAACGACCAATCACAGCCAGGATGGGATGTGTCATTAAAAAACGTTTGACGTGCTACAGCAAATCAATAAATGTTGAACAATGATTACTGTCAAGTTAGTACTAATTAGAGATCTATGTAGAGTTTTTTGATCAAATAAAAAAAATAAAATACCCACAGAAATGAAATGGCTGTAACTGGATTTAATATTCAACTAGTGGTAAAAAACTATACTATTATATGAAATTCTAACGAATGTAGTATTTAATGCATTATTGTTATACTATCAGTAAACTATTAACTAAACATTATACTATTTATTTAATACACTTATGTACAGTTCCTCCTCCAGGTTGTGGATAGAGACTCTGCATTAGACAGATGTACATTGAGTCGCTTCTAGCCGCCTCCTCTATAGAGCAACATGCTCCCTTGTTCTGTTTTACATCCATTTTACTTGTTATTGTTATTAATATTGTTGATTGTTTAACTTTGTTCATGTTGAGAAAGACACTTCAAAATGTCAGTATTTTTCGCAGTCCTTGATAATTAAGCAAGTAGACTCATAGTACCATTTGCTCCATTAAAATCGAATTGCAATTGCAATATGACCTTTTCTCCAAATCATGCAGCCCTAGTTACTGGGTCGTGGGCCTGAAAGGACTGTAATGAATTGACAGGTGGACCTATCAGCCTCTACGTCTATTTCAGAAACCAATCTCAAGCCAAACACTATGTGGTCTTTATTATAGATAAATGTTTGGAATATAACAAAGTAATAAAACTGACCAATGTGGAATTACATTCACAGAATCAAATTTTCCATTTGATAGCTCTTAGTCTTGCTCTCATAGGCTATTGCAGATTTTCCCTCAATATTCCATCGTTGTTCCTTTCACACTATAGGAAATAATCGATTTGAAATCGGGGAGGCTTCAGTCAGTAACATTAACATTATGTCTGTAAACCCCTCACACTACAGGATCGTTTGGCCAGATAATCTGTTCAGACCAAACTCGGATCAGGAGCGCCCCTGTGATTGTCGGGAGGGGTGAATCAGACCCAAAATTGCCCCAGTTATCCACTAGTGTGGGGCCAGCATATGTAACACTCCAGTGATTACATAAGGTCAAAATACTCTATAGTTCTGACATTTCAACACATTCGGTTCAATCTGCAGTAAAGTGGGTTTCCTAATATTTCTGTTCTTCTCAAAGAAAATTATTACAGTGTCATTCATTTTGACATTTATGTCATCGCAAAACAACATAGCACCTAAGTAAACATTTCTGCTACCATGGGTGGGGAGGATTACCTGAGGAAAATGTCAGCTAGCGGGTTACCATGAATAATTGCAAAGTGACTATTCACTGTGACCTTTTACCGTTAATTTACTGGTTTCAAGAAAGGGTAGAGCCTGTAAGAATTCCTCATCATGCAGGAAAACAATGTCACAAAGCTACAGTAACTGTATTAGGGCAATGTTTAACCAGAAAGAAGCAGTTGTTTCATGTCCAACAGACTAAAGAAAAATACAGGGTGTTTTAAATATCAGAATGGAATATCAGGGGCAAAGTGATCAAAGTCATCCCCCACGAACCCAACGTATTCACTTTTCATGGGTAAACTGAAAATTCTGCAGGTTTGTCCCCCATTTTAGTTAAATGCTTTTTGTGTGTGTGTGTGTGTGTCACCTGTATTTGTGCTCGGTTTCCTGCTGTGATGTTTGAGATGGTCCAGCATGCCTCTTTACGAATGGACTCTTTAGCACTGCTGAGAAGGTGCAGCAGACAGGGCAGGGCTGAGCAGTTCAACACCACCTACACACAGCAGCAGAGTGGGTACATAACATAAAAAAACAAACAAATTAAAGACAGGTTCACGAGTAAGGTGTGTGTGTGTGTGTGTGTGTGTGTGTGTGTGTGTGTGTGTGTGTGTGTGTGTGTGTGTGTGTATATATATATATATATATATATATATTGAATGAATTTATCCTACTAACTCAGAGTTGGAATAATTTATCCTACTAACAAATACAGCTTATGTATCTGCACTCTACTACTTCATTGTCCTCCTGCTAACTATTAGACAAAGCCCTGTAATAAACCCTACCTCCATTCCAAATTCCATCTTTTCCCTGTAAATTTTTTTGAATTCTGTGTTTTACAATTCAAGCACATTTTGTCATCAGAAAGAGTGTGTAATCATGTGGTGGTTGCATACAATTTCAACAATAAGAAAATATTACAAATTTAATCCATATCATTGAATATGATGTATCATGCAAATACATATAAAGAAATATTCAAATGTATAATTATTTATGGAGACAGTTAAAAATAAATGTGCTGCAGCAGTAGGGTATTAAAAAACTATTTAATAGAGGACACTTCACAATGAATGCATTGATGCAATAATTGTAGGCCCATTGTAAATTGTCCACTAATAAATAAGTTATTACTTGACAGCCTCCATATGCTGCTGAACACACGGTAGGAGTTGATCTGGCAGAGGCTACTCTCACGAGGACAACTCTCCTACTTGTTTACAAAGCTTGACTGGACCATAGGACCAGACGTAGCTTTTTTTACTTTTCCTAACAGAATATCTGACTCCGCCCATACAGCCAGTCTTCAACGAGCTCGTGTTTTTCCATCTGCCGATGTGGCTGCACTTTCGAGAGTTTGTTGAAGTGATGAGCTCTTGCTAGCACTCCAACTCTTCGATATGACAGTATGTGTGTGTGAAGTGGAGGAGTCACTGAGCCCATCACTTAAATACAGACACTGAGAGCAGAGGAGAGAAGCAGCACCCTTAAATGACACCAAAACACAGCTGCATAGTTTTTCTGTTTGTTTAGCTTAAGTGCTATGAGAAGAAACACTTGTAATATTAAGGAAAATCCTGATTTTTATAAGTTGCATCTGCATTTTGGCAGATTCCAGAATATTCCGCATTTTACAGTTGATTCTATTTTCTTATCAATATTTTCCACATCACGGACAGACAAAGGTAGGACAATAAAACAAACATAATATACTCTCACCTGTGTCTGGATGTCATCTCCAGTTACAATGTTTCCTACAGCTCTCAAGGCAGGGGAGGCCACCTTATAGTCAGTGTGCCTGCAGAACGGGAGGTTTAACAGAGAGAGAGAATTTTAAGTATTTACAGGGCCCCATTTCAGAAAGTGGGATTAGTGAAAATTCTGAGTATGTTAAGCCTGAAATAAGGGAAACTCTGGGTTTTCCGTTTCAGAGAGCGAGATCAGATAATCCCTAGATCAGTAACTCTGGCAACTGATGCTGTGAACCTAACCTCCTCCTGAGGAGGTTAGGTTCACAGGATAAGTTGGAAAACCGTCAGTTTTTCCTTTAACTCCTCCCCTCCTGCGAAGCCTGAGGCGGCTGTCTGACATACCGTTTCATTTCCTCATTCATTCTGTCGATATCAAAGCACATATCTGAACGCATTTACATCTTTAAAAACTTTAAAATTCCGGTTAGATCGGCTATTTGTTTTTTACCCAAACATGATCTTGAACATGACCGCTTTTATGATCAATCTGTCATCGATGTATGCACAGATCTTCGCACATGATGATGCCATTTTTTCCATCCCGACGCACGCGCTTCAATCAGGCTCAACATACTCAGAGTTGATTGAACTTATTCTGATCAGCTGTTCTGGAACCGAAAATTCAGAGTTTCCCACCTCAGGCTCAATCAACCCAGCGCTTAGGGATAAGCTCAGAGTTTGTTAAGCCTGCTTTCTGAAACAGGGCTCAGGTCACATATACTGTGACAAAGACAATAGTGAGTGTAGCTGAACTTACATGAGTAACTCTACAAGGCGCCTGCAGACGCCTGAGTCGATGACAGCCTGAATCTTGTCATTGGGGCCGTCCGAGAGGTAGGACAGGGCCCAGCAGGCGTCTGCCAGCAAGTCTGGGTCACTGCTAAATAAAAGCCTGGAGAGTACTGGCAGACAGGGTGACACCTAGACAGCACACAAAACATATTTCTGATGAGAAACAACATGAATCCAACAACTCCAAAAGAGCCACACATCAAGAGAAACTTTTCAGCAGATAAGCAGTTGGGGGGGGTAAAAGTAGCCTGGCCAAAGTTCTGTTCAATGAAAATTGTCATTCAGAAGAAAAAACTAGCAAACTGTGCATGTACATACTTTTCATGGAGACTGGGACATTTATAGTTAGTTAAATGGATAAATATAGGTAACCCAACTGTACTGTGTGACCTTGCACCTGACCATGATTTTTCTCACACTGAATGGCTTTCCAAGGTTTCCCCACACATAGACTTTACTTGGCCCAGGTATATTAACGGCCACCCAAGTATATTTGGTGACCCATTTTAGCATTTTACAGAGAAACACAGAGACAGTTTTTATTGTTGCTGAATATTTTACAAGCACGGACCAGGTCAGATGCAATTTGTTAGCTAACACACTGGTTTCATTTTTCATAGGCTATGTCGTTAACAAGCCTCCTCCACATGTGGGACACCTGGTGCTGTAAACGGAATAGCGGGTGGAAAAATCTAGAAGATGACTTCTGTGTCTTTTCTGCGACTTTATAAAACGTAGTCCTGATGGAGAAAGTCAGAGCCAACACATTCATGGAGAAAGAGACAGAAAGAAGCGGGGCACGCCACTGTGTCTGCAGCAGAGGTGTGCGCGTCTATTAGTGTGGGGAGAAGAGAACTTAAGGGAAAGCCAATTAAATTATTGAGTAAACACTAAAGTATGGTGGAGAATGAAGTACACTGCAGAGTTTTCCCCTGACAAATACAGGCTTTTTCCTACACATGATTGTGTATCCAAGCAGTGTTAACCATTATGTATGCTTTGTCCATAGCAAAATGTTGAAAATTAAAAAGTAGCAGGCCTGATCTGAAATTATCAGTTATTTTTGGTTTAGTCTTCATGAGGCGAAGTGATACCTTTTCAAAAGCAGGTGGAGGGTTTTTTCCTCTACAGAGATTAGACAGAGCCCACACTGCATTCCTAGTCATGGTCAATCTAGTGGATTTGGTCAGAAGCCTGAAATGACAAATGAGATAGTATCAGAAACACATTATTATTACTGGTAGGAAAGCTAAAGGACTGAATACAAGAACATGAGCTTACATTAATAGTGGTGGAAGGATGTTGCAGTTCAGCACATAATCCCTGCAGACTGCACTATCCCCTGCAATATTCCCCAAGGCCCACACAGCCTGCAGGGGGAAAAAAACCACACACCAAACCTTTTTTACTTATGGGCATAAGTGTGAAACAAAGCAAAACAAACAGACACAACAATGGGCAAAATGGACTCAATCTATTCTCCCTATCACACCATGTGTTACCTGTTCTTGCACATCCTCAAATTCTGAGTTAAGTAGTTCTATGAAGATCGGTACTGCTCCAGCCTCAATCACCGTCTTTGTCTGCATTGATGTACCTGATGCTATGTTGGTCAGTGCCCAAGCTGCTTCAAACTGCGGGAGCACAAAATGTCATAGGAAAAAAAAAGCACAATTTTAAACAGTTTTACAACAGAGCCTTAACATTAAGTGAGAGGAATCTTTAGGCTCTTTATGTGAACATTGGATCACCTCAACAAATGACCATTTCCATTAATTTCACATCAGAGAGCCATTCAGGTTTTGGAGATAACAGTTTACGCCTCACTGATTTGTGCAGAACAGAAAAAATGATGGCCAATCAGAGCCATTATCTTTCTTTGACTTATCACTATAAATTGATAACAGTTTATAGTGCCTTGCAGCAACAAAATCTAACACAGCTTGTGTATTTACCTCAATGGGATGCATACATTATTGTTTAAATAAAGTTTACCAGCAAGCATGGCAGGGGACACTTTACCAACATTTATCACTTGACAGATATTAAATGTACACTATTTGGGCATGGAACATGTACTGTGCATGCGTTTTTACAAACTGACCTGTAGTGTGCAGTTGACGCTTTTCTTCAAGAACTCCACAAACCTCTCCACTACTCCGGGTGTGTTTATAACTTCATCAATTGGTGGGTTGGGCTCTGAAATTAACACAGGTAAAACTGGATGTAAGTATTTTTGTTTTGTCAGTGGTGACCTCATGACTGGTACCACAGTTATGTAGAGTCACTGTAAGTAAACAATAGGTACCTTTGGAAAGTAGTTTTCTGAACTTTTGTGTTGTGGCGAGCTGAAGCTCTGGGTCCTCTGAGAAAAGCATCTCAACCATGTCCCTGGTAATGACTCCTTCCTGCAACAATACATGCACAAGCAGTCTAAACACTTGATCCACTCAGCACAAACTCTGGAAAACAGGCTAGACAACAATAACTACCAAATCAGAAATGTATTGGGGAAATAAACCTGTATTTGTTTGTTGTGCAAGTGGTATTAGAAAAATAGACACTCACTGTTACTGGAGAGCTGAGGTAGGAGTCCACCAAAGGGCTCTCGAACATGGTTTCCTCTTCATTGAGAATGTCCACGTTCCTCCTCTTGAAAAGCTGTGAATACAAAAATTGTGTCCACAGAGACAGTTAAGCCGGACTATTTTCAGTATACTACATACTGATATAATGTCAAAGAAGAAGATAAAGGAATAGAGTGGCACGGACAGGTTTTGTGTAATACCTGTTGCTCTCGTTTCTGTTTCCTGAGTTGGATACCCTCTTCCTCTCTCCTGCGCCTCATCTCCTCTGGGTTCAGTGCTTTGTTCTTGTAGCGGTTCATCCTGTAGTTATCTTTGGCCGGACTGGCTGACGGCTCTGATGGGCCACAGACACAGTCAGGTAAACATCACGATTAAGACAGCAGGAAAAGTTGTGTACCACTTGCTTCATCTAAGTTGAACTTCATGAGTACACCATGTGTTGGAAACAGTAGGTGAACATGTGACAGAAAAAGTTTGCTTTTGTTTCCCCTTAACATCTCTAATAATAGATCATGATGATGAAACAGTGTGTACATATGTCTATATATATAAAAAGGCCTTGTATAAACAAGCTCATAGGGGCATGGAAAACACAGCCTAAAAATACACACACACACACACACACACACACACACACACACACACACAGTTAAGCTCTTCATCTACCCTTTCAGCTGGCAGGCAGAACAAATGTATTTATTCAGTAGAGTTAAATCGCAGAATCAGCATAAACTGGTGCCCACACAGGACAAACTGCCCGTTCTCAGCATTTGTGCAGTCATGCCACCAGAAAAGGGCATTGAGCAGAACCCTGAGTCACCCAGGGCAACAGGGGAGAGAAAGAGAGGTGGGGACAACATTGCAACCTGCCACCAAAACAGGATGGTGCCAACCTTCTGTGCCAAAAGCCCCCCCGATCGTAACAGCGGGGGTTTCCGAGGTTAAATATCGGAACAAGTGGTGCACATTGAGGTCATGTTATGGTTTCAGGGCATTAGCACAATCAGCCTCCTAAAAAGGCTTATGCATGTGTGTAATGTGTGCAGATGGTAAAGCCACGGGCATGGATGGCACATAAGCACAGGTTGCGGCTGGATGCTCTCATTTCTGTACTGTGTTAGTTAGATTAGCTGCTGGATGTGAACTGCACTGACTGTTCACTGTTTGGGCAGGATGGCACAGAAATAGCCCTGCTGAGAACACGTGTCGACATTGGCATTTCAGAGGAGACCCTACCTACAGCAGGGAGAAAGCAGATTGGTGGGTTGTGTTTAAGTGTATCTGGACTCAAATCAGGAAAAAGTCATGTTCCTACTGAAACCTATTTGTATTCAGATACGCTGATAGATTCTGTTTTATTTGTTGAGGTTCTGGATTAGCCTCTGCTGAGATTTCTGTCACTATCTAAAACCAATGGGTGTGGATTGGAAACCCTCTGTTGCAGAGTGGTGGCAGAAATATCAACGGCAGACATATCACAACCTCTGTAAATAAATCTGAAACAGTATGCATCGCTATATAGTATGACTTCTGCAATGTAAGATTTTGGGAAACCAACCTGACCCCCTAATTTAGTGTGACTAAGTGGAGCACAGCCTGTTTTGGTGACAAATCAACGAATGGAGCATGAGGAAGGGAAGAACAGGACTCCTGTTACAACTGTTCTGCCCCTCTTTCATTCGTCTATTTAAATAATGTTACTGTACATCACAAATGAAAAATACTTAACAAAACAAACGAAAACAAAAACATGCACAAACCCTTGCCGGAATAGTCTGGAAAACATGGGGACCCCTGAGGTCACGTGTACACGCTGGTTTCGGTGTGTCCTGTCAGATATCTCATTACTATTCATCACTGATGTTAGCAAGCTTTCAAAAAATGTCCCGTGTTTTTCTTTAGTATGGAATTTAATAGCTTGTATACACTTTATCTTCAAAAGAATAACAAGCAACTCCACATAATCACACTACTGTGTAATTCTATGGGTTTGAAGAGCAAGTCTGTATGACAGAGCTAACTTAGCTAAGCTAACGTTACCAACACACAAATATGTGCCTAATAACTATGACTATTAAATTGTGTCGTCTTATAGGTGGTGACTTATACGCTTTTCAATGTTGTTAAAAGTATCTTTCCAAGTACACAGCCATTAAACAGCAGAGAACAAAATGCATCTGCACCTCAACAGCTAGCTAATGTTACCGCTATCCACACCTGTGTTGTAGAGAAACACCAGAACCGTAGACACAGGCACATTATAACGTTACTTTGCAATTGCTGATAAGCACGCCAATGTATTGACTTAACTGACAAATAACTTAAGAGCTAAGATAAACGTGTGTAAGTTATTCCCACGTGAGAAAAGACGGTGACTTACAAAGCTTCACATTTAAGTTAGCCATTAGCCAAGTTTCCTTAAGTTAGCTAACAAATGGCATTTGTTGTTTTCTCGGGTTGGAATTGTGTTAGTAACAGTTAAACTTTGTATGTCATTTGATAATATAAACACTGTCCTAAGACTAGACAGTTTGGTGACAGTTAAAAATAACCTCAGTAACAGCAAGTGAACTAATATTAGCGTAAAATAGCAACTCATCTTTCGCTACTACGTAGCATCGTTATTCAGCTACCTAGCTAATGAGTTAGCTAACTAGCTGAACGACAGGATGAAGATTTCACAATCATTACCCCCGATGACACAGCCAAATCTTTTACCACCTGAACGCATATCTGTACTCTCGATTTGCCGAGAAGCTTACCCATCGTGTCCTATGTGGTTTGAGTGATCAAGTCGTGAAGATATAAATCAATTTTAAATCCGTTCTCTCTTCTAGCTTTCCAGAATTTGCTCCTGTAAGCAATATGTCTGCCGGAGACGGAAACGTCAACATATAACGCCGACATCCTGCCACCAGAGGGCACACGAGCCCCACAAAACACGCTCCTCAAATTGAGCAGTATGGGATCAATGGGATACAACAAATCCACCGTACAACACGAATCATGAACATTCATGAAAAATCAATTTAGGACTGGGTTTATTTAATTCTGACACGGATCCATTGGTCAAAATTGATAAGCTGAAAAATTTAGTCATTCATAACCAAAGTACCATGTCAGTTATCAGGGGAGGGCAAGGGGACACATGATTTAAGGTTAGTCTACTTCCAATGTCAGTTCCTCCCTCCTCTCCATTGTGCATACCCTCTAGCATGGTTTAGAAACCTCTCAGTCTTGGATCTGCATATCTCCCTACGGTTTTAAAATGTTGTGTGTGTGGAAACAGCCAGGTGCCCCAGTGTTTTTCTCAAACTGAATGTGACAGGGTAATACAGGTGAGGTGCATCTGTGGTCAATTTGCTGGGAGCAGGTAGTGGTAAATTACTGCACTATATTGCAACGCAGCATCATCCTCTGACAAGGGCCCCAGAGGGGGCCTGCGGAGATGCACCAGAAAAAAACTTTAGGGGGCAATGTTGTACAAATAAAATGGAAGTAATAGGACATTCACTACTGTCAGGGTGGCTTTTTCCCCCTATTGGAAAAGGTGTGGGAGGTCAAGCCAGCTGTGGCACAACTGAAATACTTTCCCATGATTACAATTTCTTAGCAGACTAGAACAAATATTGTTCATAGATCCATGCTCTCCCAGCATAGCCTTGGGCTCTGGACTGAACTTCACTCAGCTGAGCCATGAGGGCTGAGAACTCACAGCCTTCAGCAGGTGTGCTGGTGCAGAGATGAATCAAAAGAAACTGCTTGTTGGATAGCAGCACTCCGCTAGTATCAAATAACACACAGGACCAATTTGTGCCACTGAGGCGCAGCATTCAAATGCTCTCAGATCCAGTCCGCAGGGCTGTAGCTGGGGCTCATCAAGTCTGATTTCACAGGGCCTCTTTTGTAAGTTATTTATCTTTCTTATTTCTAGGCCTGCTGAAGCCCATCATACAGCAGCCTACACTCTGCAGAGAAGCAAAGGCTATCCATTAGTCAACGCCACAGAGTAAAGACTGCCTCTGTAATGGAATCATAAGAGCTGAGCTTGGCGTATAACCAAGGGCTTTTAAAAAGTAGACACGGTCACTACTGCTGTAGTCTCCCACTCACCACCACCTCCTAATGTAGATATAATAAACACAACAATCAAGACGATCTTTTTTCATCTAAACTGCTCTAAATTAAAAAGAAAAAAGGAAGACCTCTTGTACCTCATTGGTGGCCATTGCCAGTCCAGGCTGAGTCAGCAATATTGAAAAAACGCGCTGCATTTTCAACAAGCAAATTCACAATGCTGCTACAGCACGACAAGAGAAACAGCAAGATGTTGATTAAGTGCTATTTAATCAAAATGAGTTTTTAGTTGTTTCTGAAAAGATGATATAGCATTTGTTAATTATATTTCTTTGGCAGGATCTTTTTCTGGCCACATTTTGTCCTCATTTTACGGCACTTAAAAGCTTTTTCCACAGATCTACAAGTATCTGTATGCTGAATGCTTTTTTTGGCTGTTGACATAAATCCTTTCCATTTGTAGGGAGTCTGCTACTTTATCCAACGGAGAGGTTTCATAGGCAAATGTCTTGCATCATGCTCCTGGCAGTTTATCCACGATAAAACATCAAGCAGGACTCTGATCTCTGCAGGTGGCTGCTGCAACAAGAAAAACAAAAACTGCTTTGCACATTTAGTCTTGCCAAACAAAAATAATATGAACCCCATAAAGAGGCTAACAACATCAAGGAGCATGTTTGCAGAGTAAAAACTCAATTACAAGCGTCAAAAGCAGTTCAGTTTTAATTGTGCTTATTTGATTGTGCAAATATACCCACTTTAAACATGCTCCTTAATTCAATTACACCCAGTATGATAATAAGGCTAGTTTGCTGAAACGTGAGAATGTGGTTGGGCCGCCTGTGGGAGAGAGAACATCTGCAAGGCTCTGTGCTGAATACTTTGTGTGAGAGTAATAAAGGGTGAGAGAGATAACGCCATGGGGAGGATAGTGTGTGGAGAGAGCAGTGTGTCAGTGCATGTGGGCTGTGAATGGAAAAGAAGAGATATGTCTTCATAATATAGTGTTGGAAATCCATTCTGTGCTGTCCATTCCTTACTTTTTTATCAGACCCTCTCTCTCTCAGTCTCTCTGTCTCTCTATGGCTTTCTGACATCAAGCAGGTGGCGGGGGGCCGATAAGTAAGATGCTGAGTAGGTGATTTTAGAATATTCTTGGCGATCAGTCGATCATTCCTTGCGTGTGAGAGGGAGATTTGTGGGAACCAATTGAATACTAATGTATAACTTTCACCTCGCAGGATAAAAAGACTGAAAGAAGGGATTAAAAATGTCTGATGTCATTGAGCAAATATGGTAGAGTAGAGCTGTGTGGGATCTCACTTTACATCTTACTCTTTAACTGGGGTGTCCTGGTGTGACAGTGTTTCTTAAACTACAATCCAATCAGGCCTGTCAAGATATGATATGCTGGTTTTCTAAAGGGCTGTGCATGCCTCAGCCAATGTGCTAGATCGTCTAAGAGACCCTTTTGAAGTCGTAATCTGAAAGGACGGCTGCATCCAAAATTCAACGAGTAAGGCCACTTCACGGAGCGACCGGCCAGCAGTGTGGAGCAGACAAAATAGATTTGGTTTGAGGTTTGAACTTCTATCTAAAGATCTATTTTTTCATTCACAACTACTTCATCACTTTTTAGTGCTGAGTGCAACACCACAAAGATCTTTCAGGAGAGACTCTCCAAAAGAGTGTGCATATAGCCCCATTTTTAAGATTCCTGTCTTAACAGTGGACTTATTTGCCCTACCTTTGAGTGGGGTAATTTGGGAAAGCTATAAACATGTTTGGCTTGTTCCTTTGATTACACTTGGTACAAACTAGTTCTTTTTAAGCATCCCAAGCCCTTAACTAGCATCGTAACTAGGGTAAATGTATTATGGGTTGAAATGAGACAAAGACCTAGGGAAGATTCTTTTACTTATTTTGTCAGGCTTATGATTAGTTACTGTGTGTGCCTGTGTATGTCTGTGTCTTTGGGTTGGAGGTTTTTTCTTGCCTTTTTTATTTTATATAACACATTTCAATGTAAAGCAATCAGAGTTAGCTTGTAATAAAATCTATCCATCCATCATCTATACCTGCTTATCAGTGCAGTGTTGCAGGGGGCTGGAGGGTACATCTCACAGGACACTTAGAAACAAACAACCACTCACATTCACCTTTTAACCTATATGTCTTTGGACAGTGGAAGAAAGCCGGAGCACCCGTAGAGAACCCACGTACACATGGGGAGAACATGCGAACTCCGCATAGAAAGGCCAAGGAAGACCAAGGTTCAAACCATATGTATAACATTGCTTTGTCTTACTGCAGAGGTTAAATGTATATGAGTTCATTTACTGAAGTGCTGCTTATGTCAGGGTTGTCGTGTGTGAAGGTAGGAACAGGTTTTAGGACCCAAACGAAGGACACAGAGGCAGAACAGGTACAGTTTCCAAACATTTATTTAAGCCCACAGAACTAACGACAGAATCCAGAATTCAACAAAAGGATTATCCAAAAATGAGGCAGCAGAAACAGGCAGGAAAGTGAGACACACAGCAGTGGATGAACATACCTACATACAACAAACCAGCAAAAGTTAAACAGAAGCAACAAACATTTAAGTACTGGCTAACAAGGAGGGCGGGAGCACAAACAGGTGATACCAGTAATGACAGCAGACAGGCGCAGACAGGCAGGGTGATGAACTGTCAGAAACAGACAGATACTAACAGATGCAAAATGCAAGACCACAGACCATATAACAGATACCTAACTGATAAATGAATAAACTCAGAGAACGAAATGGAACAGATGACAGGACAAACATGCAGATACAAAACCAAACCCTCAGAATCAAAACCTAAAAACACAGCTCTCAGGACAGGATCGAGACAGCTTACTTGAGTATTCCCATTTTATGCTTTACTTTTTTGCTCCACTGTAATCCAGAGAAAAATGTTGTACTTTTCACACCACAATATTTATTTGATAGATTTAGTTACTAGTTAATTTCAGATCTGGAATTCACATATAAAACATTATCTTCTAAATTATTTGTTGACATGAATTAGAATTAATACCAACTACAACTACTTATAGCCTACATAGAAACATCAGTAATAATAATACAATAATGTAATGTATAATAACATATCACTCACAGGGTATATATGATAACTATTATTATATATTATTCATAATACATATTAAAGTTTATGTACATTTTTCTGAAAATACTTGTGTACTTTTACTTAAGTCAAATTAGGAATGCAGCGCTTTTACTTGTAATTCAGAATTTTACGGTGTTTTATTGCTACTTTTTACTTAAGTAAAGAATCTGACCCACTGCAGTGGGGGAAGAAGTATTCAGATTTACATAAAGACATGTCTTTATGTAAACGTCTCCTGTGTAGCACCGTCCAGGTGAAAATTAGTGATGACTCTCAGTACCCAAAGCACACACTCTAGAAATATACTGGATCAACTTTTACTCTTCCAATACCTCAGCTCGAGGGAATCTGCGTGTAAGTACTGATCCAGTACCAATGCTCTCTTTTTCCTAAATTTAAATCCGTAGACATTGTTGCGTAGAACTCACTGAAATCATTCTTAATACAGACCCCAAGTAATATAATATTTCTACCTTCACCCAAACTCCTGTGCACCCCAGGCTTTGTGCAGCGCTTGGTAACTGAATAGCTCATCAGTCGAGACAAATTATTCCGTGAAATGGAACAGCAATGTCACAGCGTGGGCTGAGGTGGCAGCAGTAATGCACCAGTCCGATGCCAGAAAGTGAGACACAGAGAGAGGGGAGGTGCAGTCTTGCA